AACAACTGGCACGTTTGCACTAATTCAAAAAACGGCTGCCGCAAAGCCAGTATGGTCTGAGGATAACTTCGTATCGTACTTTAAACTCAACTAAATGTCATTCACTATAGATACATATTGTACCGTAAAATTATAAAACCAGTGCGTGGCGAGGGAATGACGCTAAAAGCTGTGGACTCTTTTTCAAGTACAGAAAATCAAATAATTGTTTATTGAAACCGCAAAATATTAATAAAATTTGGTGTAATATACATTTAAATAGATTATTCGTTAATTAAAACAAAGGATCAAATTGATGTTTCTTTAAAAATGGGTTCCAAAACACAAACTTTTGGAGTGCGGACATGTCTAGGGAATGACGTTTTGGGTCATTGAAAAGGAATTTAAGATGTTTTAAAAATAGTTTTAAAAAATATAAATGGGTGATGAATAAAACACATTGCGAGCTGTTATTTAACAATTTTGGAATAAAATATTAACAAATATTCCATGTGAAATGTGGCGCGGACTAAGAGTTGACATATTTTTGTGGAANGTTGTAATCTAGTTACGAAGGTACTATACATGTGTGTATATGTATCCATATAAGTAGCTGTAAATGGTGATTAGGTTTAGCTGAAGACTCGCTCAATAATAATAATAGTAAAAAATAATAACATCCATTAAACCTACTTTAAATAAAAGTTTAAAAAATAACTGATTAAAAAACAACCGAATAGAGCACCTCCTCTTTTTTTGAAGTCGGTTAAAAATCAATTCAATACAGCCTGACTGCTAAAAATTCAGTCATTTTTTCCGCAGTCAGATTTTTTATTTTTACAAGCTTTTATTTACTTTCATATTTCTGGTGTATTCGTCAAATCTTGCAAAGTTGCAACTTTAAATTGCCCCATTTCCAGGTTAATTTCCCATTTTTGTTGCAATGTCCATAAAATAGTGACAGTTCTTTCCATCGGGACGAACTTGACCTTCACTGGTTGGGTTATTGGCGGTCAAGCTGTAGATCCTGGCTACACAAGAGTTGCAGCAGTGGGATTGAATGGTGGGATTAAGACAAGGTTCAATCATGATATTTTATCGTTAGGATTAAGCTTATGATGGATGGANTTGTGGAATGACCCATATAGATTAGTTAATCGCTGTTTACGCCCAAAATAATATTTTTAGCTCCTTAAATACGTTACATAAGAAAATTTAAAGTCATCATCAGGTCATTTAATTATGTTTCCAGTGCAGGAGCAAGACCCTCTCTAATTGACCAGAGGCAAATGGAGGATTTGTCCTACACTCCCCACGCTGGCCAGACTTTACTCTTTAGGTACGGAACTCTAAAAAATGCCTTTTCTGTAGTGTGACACACTGAATTCTACGCAGACAAAACCCCGGGCAAAAGTTAGTGTAACAATTTAATTTATTTTGGCGCGTATTTATTTAATTTTATCAGCACGTGTGCATTTTCCTACTTGGCGAATATCCAAGATGCCGGTCGTTGAACTGAGTTAGATAATGTGTGACATTGGTGAGTCACGCGTGCACATCTGCAATTAATAATTATAATTATGTATTAAACTCTGTAATTGAGTTGTTTTATTATAAATCACGTTTTAGATTACCACTTTATTGGTTAAACTTTTTCGCGCGCTTTTGCTCGTGTGTATTTCCGACTGTCACAGAAATACTTTTTCGCGCGCATGTCCCACAGATTATAGAGTAGGTATGTCTCTTTTTAAAACCGGGATAAAAACTATCCTATTTTTTCCCTAGGTCTAAATTCTAAAACTAAGTAGGTATTTAATTATGTTGATTTTAATCTAAATTTATTTATTTATTTAATAACAATCTTAGCTCTAACATTACAGGTTACCCCAATGCGATAATTGGTTCAATTACAAGCAGACAGTTACTTTCGCATTTATCTTGATGATTACGGACTATTAACTGATAATGTACAGCTACTTACTTATTTTAAACACACATGACATTAACGTTTAAAACTTTATTTCCTGTGAGATAACACTGCTAGCTACCAGTAAGTCTAAGAGTAGGCGCACACCGTTGATTTTTAGTTGGCCGATAGTTGTGCCCGATTTCAAATTGTATGAAGAATCGGCAAAATCGAATCGATGTAGTGGGCGCACTCCCACATGATACATGCCCATACTGATCAACAGCCCGACTAAACTATCGGCCGACGAAAAATCAACGGTGTGCGCCTACTCTAAGCACAAGTCTAAGGCTGGGTTGTACCATTCTTACTTTAACTTAAACAAACGTTAAGTCTGTCAAATTCCATACAAAAGCACCGGTTAATGTTATAGTTACGGTCAAAGTTAGGTGGTGCAACCCAGCCTTACCTAGTTATTTGTGCTTAAGTACAGATTGGGTACTGTATATCTATAAGATTTTAAACTTTCGCGTTCCATTTCAACTAAAATAGTAAGACACGGGTCTTAACTTAATGATCTCGAAATATATGTAACACCTAAATGTACCTACTTAAGGAAGCAATAAACATATTGAGTATTGAGTATTGAGTATTAACGCGACGTTTATTAATGAGTTACATTATGTACTCACGGCTTGACGTTTCGGCTGCGATGCTGCAGCCGTGGTTACAAGCAGACGTCGTGTTAAGACCCGTGTCTTACTATTTTAGTTGTACCATAAGGTAGTTAACCAAAGTTCTTTCAATGTAGAATAAGGTTGAGTTCCAACATCTTACTTTAACCGTAACTATAACCATAACCGGTGCATTTGTATGGATTTTGACAGACTTTTGACGTTTGTTAAAGATAAAAATTATGATAAGATTGCGCAATCCAGCGTATGTAGGGCAACACCCACTCTTCCCGTGGGTGTCGTAAGAGGCGACTAAGGGACAGATTTAAATATCAGGGGCCCTAGAGAAAGTAACATTCTTGATAGTTTTATTTCCAAAATCTCCTAGAAAGCGAAGGGCAAGACTCCTAAATCCGTCTGGTCAGCGTGGGGAGTGTAGGACAAAACTTAGGTTATTTTTAGGGCTTAAAAACACGCTGAAAGGGTATTTCGCCAAAACAGTACATTTTCTGTGTCCAGGCAGGCGAACACATGTTTTTTTATATCTATATGTATAAAACTATTTTTATGGGAAAGTTCATCAAAAGTTTTATTTGTTTTTGCCATTACAATAGCAGAAACTACCAATAATACCGTAGAAAAACTTAATCAAAAGTCGTTTTTCTAATTTCCTTGCTATGTCCATTACTGTTGTTTGCCAAAATGAAGGCACATTATAACAAATTGAAGCGTTATTTCATTCTAACAACACTCTCTTCATATTTGAGAAACGTTTGGCTATCGGAAAATAAAAACTTTAAATGTTAAATACTTAAAGGAAGGAAATAAAGTGAAGTTAAGTTCTTGTCCGAGTCAAAAGTATAATTTCCCTGGGTCTTCATTTCGACCATTGTAGTTACGAAACGGAAGAACTTAGAATGTAATGCACTGCACCGTTACACTCGGCCATTTCATCCCAAGAGGCCATCGAGGCAGGACAGTACTTCGTTGATCAGTTTCACGACAAATCGCATAAGTAGGTCCCTCCTTNATTTTCCTACTTGGCGAATATCCAAGATGGCGGGTCGTTGAACTGAGTTAGATAATGTGTGACATTGGTGAGTCACGCGTGCACATCTGCAATTAATAAATTATAATTACATATTAACCTCCGTAATTGAGTTGTTTTATTATAAATCACGTTTATAAATTACCACTTTATTGTTTAAGTACCTACTAACTTTTTCGCGCGCTTTTGCTCGTGTGTATTTCGGACTGTCACAAAAATACTTTTTCGCGCGCATTACCACAGATTATAGAGTAGGTATCTCTTTTTAAAACCGGGATAAAAACTATGCAATTTTTTCCCTGGATCTAAAACTAAATAGGTATTTATTTATGTTCTTAATCTAAATTGGTTCAATTACAAGCAGACAGTTACTTTCGCATTTATCTTGATGATTACGGACTATTAACTGATAATGTACAGCTACTTACTTATTTTAAACACACATGACATTAACGTTTAAAACTTTATTTCCTGTGAGATAACACTGCTAGCTACCAGTAAGTCTAAGGCTGGGTTGTACCATCTTACTTTAACTTAAACAAACGTTAAAAGTGTCAAATTGTATACAAAAGCACCGGTTAATGTTATAGTTGCTGTCAAAGTTAGGTGGTGTGGTGCAACCCAGCCTTAGTTATTTGTGCTTAAGTACAGATTGGGTACTGTATCTATAAGATTTTAAACTTTCGCGTTCCATTTCAACTAAAATAGTGAGGTCTTAACGCGACGTTTATTAATGAGTTACATGTCTTACTATTTTAGTTGTATCTAAGGTAGTTAAGTTCTTTCAAAGTAGATTAAGGTAGAGTTCCAACATCTTACTTTAACCGTAACTATAACCTTAACCGGTGTTTTTTGTATGGATTTTGACAGATTTTTGACGTTTGTTAAAGATAAAATTCTAATAAGATGGCGCAATCCAGCCATAAAAGTAGGGCAACACCCACTCTTCCCGTGGGTGTCGTAAGAGGCGACTAAGGGACAGATTTAAATATCAGGGGAACTATAGAAAGTAACATTCTTGATAGTTTTATTTCCAAAATCTCCTAGAAAGCGAAGGGCAAGACTCCTAAATCCGTCTGGCCAGCGTGGGGAGTGTAGGACAAAACTTAGGTTATTTTTAGGCCTTAAAAACACGCTGAAAACTGGGTTCGAACTAAAATAAAGGCTAACTACGGCGTTTCTATTTATGAAAAGTTCTAGGTACAAGGTGGACCGACAACCTCATAAATGTAGTAAAAAGGCGCTGGATGCAGGCCGCTATCAACCGGGAAATAATGAAAATCATTGGGGGAGGCCTATGTTCAGCAGTGGACGTCATATGGCTGAAATGATGATGATGAAGGTAATGGGCATAGTAAATCTACAATTATAATTAAATGCATAAAATACTCACACTAAAGCCACCAAGTACGGATGCGCTTTGACATTCCCCTGACCGCCATCCTGCGCTATAGTGACGTCACCGGAAGTCGCCATCTTGTCAACCGTCAATTATGTCAGCCAGCCGTCTGTAAAGACACGAGCCGAGGTTGTAACTAGATTTTAAACTGCAGTAACTTATTTACTTAACTTTTTATCGAGTTGATAAGATTTAGGAAATGTGGGTCAGTCAGGCCCTTTCTATAAAAATGCGGTTCGAAATAGATACAGCGATAAACGGGTTTACCGTTTATTTATGAGATGTCAAAACGCATTTTCCACGCACATTTATAGCATTTAGTAGGTTCTTTAATAAAGTATGCAACGTAGTAATTATAGTAAACGGGAATGTACTACATAACACCCCTAGTCAATTGAGATACTTTTTTGAGCTGTCAAAACGTTATGATGAGCGTAGTCTTTCAATTGACTTATAAAAATCTAATTAATAAAATCGAATACTTCTATAAATGCGAAAGTTAGGATGTCTGGATGTTTGTTACTCTTTCACGCAAAAACTACTGAACGGATTTTGATGAAATTTTACAGTATTATTGGTTATATAACCCAGAATAACATATAGGCTATAATTTATGACGATCTGTGACAGACTAAATTTCACGCGGATGAAGCCGCGTGCAAAATTTAGTAGTTAATAAATAAGTTTGGGTAGGTGTAGAAGTGTAGAATAGGGCCACCCCTACTCAACACATGGAAATCGTAAGAGGCACAATTATGGCAAAAATATGCGAACTTCAGGCCTCCCCAACCCTTCTGGCCAGCATGGGAAGTGTAAGCCAAATCATCCATTTTCCTTTGGCAAATAATTGACTGTCGTGCTCTAGCAGTGAAGACTTATGATATTTTTGTACAGCAAATGAGCCAATGATTTATTTTAAGTCTTCTTTTTATTAGTCACTTCAAAGAATGATTGTGAACAGTACCAGCTCCCATTTCGTATTATTACGTTCAAACGAGTGTCAATTGGTTCGTTTTCATTCATGCCGTGTTGCTAAGCGGACCGATTACCATTCGACGCTTGCCAAATGTCGGCAAGGCCATGACCTAACGGCTATTTGAAATTATGAGTAACATTGTCTGTTCGCTAATATAAATTACAGTTTAATTGAATTGTAGGTGAAGTTGGATTTTGGATTGTATAATTTGTGCCGACGTAAAGGGCACTAAAGGTAGCACACTATCAACTCTTGAAAGGAATCATTTAACTGTATCAACTAGAGGCGGTCAATATTCTTTAAACTCCATAGGTAGGTACTGCAAACTGCAACGTATATTTTTCTCATCGTAACGTAAACGCCTCTCCTCGCGGTTGACAGCGCGCGAAAGGCGATGACAGCTCGCGAAAGGTGATACGGTGTTGATCCCTTTTAGAGTTGATAAGTTTGCTATGATCCTAATACGTCTCAAGCTTACTTTTCATAAACCCAGAGGCATAGCGCGCGTAGCTATCGGCGTATCAGCCTTATCAAATACAGGGACCCCGGGCTACAGCAGTTCCCATTTGTTTGTCTCGTAGCGCTGGTAGGGCCCAAAAGATAAGGAGACATGTAAAGTGCCCCATAAGAGCCTACCTTTTTTTTATTTACTATATTTTGACGTTCATAAATGCCACCAGTGGTCTAAATTGAATAAAATATTTTTGATTTTGATTTTACAGGGGCAGAACTTGTTTAGATTGGACAGTAGGCAACTGCCTAGGAAAGTTCTATAATTTTTTAAAAGATATTGAACTGTGTGAAAGTCCGCATATTACACCAAAATTTCGTTGCGGGTCCAATGACAGTTTAACTTTCTCCCGGGACAAACTTGGCCTTCACTGGTTGGGTTATTGACGGTCAAGCTAGATCCTGGCTATACAGTTGCAGCGGTGAGAACGAGAGGTGGGAATATTCCCGTAACCGCATTGCGTAACGACAGTCAAACAACCAAATGAACAAGAAAAGAAGAATATTTTGATTCCACCACCATCCGTCGATTGATTCTTACGCGGTATTTATTGTTTGTAACACATTCTATTGTTCTTTAAAGGAAATGTCGTCTGACAACTAGTGTGTTTATTTGATTAGTAATTGTTTACTTCGAGTGCTTTCTCAATAGGGCACTAGATTTCACACATCATGAGTTATAAGTAATATTATGAAGCAGATTTGTATTTTTGTATGTTTGCAACGAATAAACTCACTAACTACTACAATAAGTACTTGATCGATTAAGAAAATTCTTTTTCTATTAACTAGCATGCTACATATTATTTCTGAGTAACATCTTATAGGCTATAGCAGACCGAAATTCACTAAGATAAAGCTAGTAATTAAAAAAATAACTCTGCGCGGTCTCTTCACAAATTAAATAAAGTCATAAAAACTACTTTCAATTAAATTAAAGTTTTATTTATTGCAACATGAGGTAGGTATTTACACAAATTGTTTCGCTTAGTTGGCATACAATTATGTAGTATGATAATCTGACTCATTTACGTTTATATGCTGTATTTATTACAAATAAATAACCTCAGTTGACTTTGGAAAATATTTTTACATGCAACATAACTACAGATCTATTACGTTTTCTTCACAACTCCTAAAAAGTATCTCAATTGACCGATTCCCTATTGATTTGACATTCAATCAATTGCTGTACTTTTTCAAGCAGTCAAACGCGATTCCTGATTGTTTTTTTTTATAATAGTACCTACCGTTGTTTTTACGGGTTAATTTCTAAAGAATTCAGTTAATTCTTTTTTCGTGAATTTCAGTAACTTTGCTTTAAAGAACTTAAACACGTCCCATTATATTTTCGACTTACTGCTCGGGGACAATGATATGAGTACTAGGCCAGTCTAGGTAGGTACATAGAAAACAACCAGACCAATTCAAAACAATCTTCATGCACTTATATACTCGTACACATATCGGGCGATGTTTCTTTGAAATGAGGAGATCCGTAAACGAACTAAAGTCGCTGACATAGCCTGACGGATTAGCAAGCTGAAGTGGCAATGGACAGGGCACACTACGCAGAACTGACGACCGATGAGGCAGCAAGGTTCTGGAGTGGAGGCCACGTACCGGAAGGTGCTGGATGCAGGCTGCTACCAACCGTGCGATGTGGAATTCATTGGGGGAGGCCTATGTTCAGCAGTGGTCGTCCTGTGGCTGAAATGATGATGATGATGATCGTGCGGAGATCGAACCCACGACGTTTGTAATAGATAGAACGCGAACCACTAGGCCTTGCCTATTTGAAATCAGTTGTGTAAATAATAAAATAACATCAGTTTCTAAAATAAACGTATAGGACCGGAAAATCTAGTTTTTATGTTGAAAGAACCTTTAATATCGTGTAAATTCATCCTTTAAAGGCCGGAAATCAAAAAAATTCTAAATAAACAAAAAATCTTATAATACTAGAGATGCGCTTTGGTTTCGCCTGGGTTTAATAGTAGATGGCCTACTTTGTAAACTGACTTATTTATATAAATTTAGTAATAGGTAAGTCAACATTTTCAGTTAGGTTTAGGTATCGCTATAATTCAAATGATTTAAAAAATCAATAATAGGTACTGTTATATTACTAAAACTGATATTATTGTATTAATTTAAAAAATTATAATACTGTGTAATATTTTTATTTAGTGATAATTTTGTTTCGTAATATAGAACCCGTCTAAAATAAAATAAATAAGAAATAAACCTAATGAAATTTATAGTCTTGTACCAAAACGGAAATCAATTAAAATACTTTTAAAATGAGGNTATAATACTGTGTAATATTTTTATTTAGTGATAATTTTGTTTCGTAATATAGAACCTGTCTAAAATAAAATAAATAAGAAATAAACCTAATGTACCAAAACGGAAATCAATTTAAATACTTTTAAAATGACAAAATAAAAAAATCTTTTTTACCGTCACAACTCTACGACGCAAGCACCAAATCCATTCAGCCTCCACCATATTATTAGATTATAGTAAAATAGACACTGGGCTCGTATTTATGTAATAAGAAAAATTCGTGACAACTACAAACGATCACAGAACATTACACAAAAAAACTGAATTCATAAACTACAAATCGTCTTGTATTTCCGCGAATATCATAAATCGTTTTAAAACTTTTTTGTTCAGTGAAACTTTTTAAAACAGATTTTTTATTGTCTGTGGCACGCAACCATCTGCGACGCGGTTTCCCGCCATACTATTTTCCGATTACGTAGTTTCTTCACAAGTTTACCGATTCGCTTTGGCTAAAACTTAGTTAGCTCATATTGTATTGTCTTTAAAGTTCAAAATATATCGAGTTAACTACACGTGTAACCTTGTATAGCTGAATACTTTATCACATGTTTACAAATTTCATTTGCTGCCTCAACAACCTGTATAACAATGAGCTAAGGTCGAAATTCGTCTACTCAGAAACTGTTCTATTATGTCCCCATATGTACTATCACTAGACCAAGTTATCAGTGCAACTGGATATCCAACTGGATAGCTACAAACCACCTTTGTAACAGTAGCATTAGTCTAGTTATAGGACCGCAAAGCTAATGTTGTTTTGTAAATCCACGAATGAAATCATTGTTGTCAAATTGTTACAATCAAAACAATGGAATTTGATCGCGTTGAGTAGCAATGCTCTCTGTTTATTGAATAGTATTATGTTACAAGCATGGACCAAGGTGTATGTTATGTATAGGTACCTTGCTTGGAATTTACTCTTTAAAATTATAGTGTTCACACAAGTGGCACCTATATTTTAAGTAAAGAGTAGGCTGTAGGCAAGCATTAGATCAATCTACAATCGAAATTGAACTTTCATAAATGCCGCGTCAATCCACAAAGTACTCTAGTAGCCAACCATTCATTGTATTTTTTATTGTATTTGTTATTCCTATAATTTAAATTATTTCTTTCCAAAATATCACACCTCAAACTTTTTTTTAATTGTTTTTATGTCTGTGAGTTATGTGTGAAACGGAACGTACATTAGAAGGGGGTGGGGGGGGTGGCCTTGACTTTTGACACTTACATATCGTCACCGTCGTGGCAGAATTAAATAACTGACAAAACCAAAGTTGCGAGATATTCACGTTTTTGTGTTTTTTTTCGTTAAAAATGGCGATAACTTTTAAGGGTAAAAATATTTTACCGTCGGTCTTTTGATATTTTATACAGCAAATTTACCTTCATTAATTCAATATTCTTCGATGATGTTACTTTGCATTATTTTAAATAAAAAAAATAAAAATGTAATTATTTAGTTTTGCCACAACCGTATTTTACAACTAAGTTGCAGTTATTTAGTTTTTGTATGTCACTTATTTAGTTTTGCCTTAACCAAGGTATTACAAAAACGAATATTTCCATTGAATAAGTACACTTGTTTAATTTTGCCACACTTTTATTGACCTAAATGTTGATTTATTAATTTTATTTTATTTGTTTTGTTAATGCGATTTTAGTCAAAATCTGTAAAATTGTTAAATAATACTAGAATATACCTACTTATTTAATACTTATAAATGTTTAACAAATTGGTATGGTAACCATCAACATCAGATTCCTTTACATTGAAATTAAATTGAAAGAACCAACATCAAAATGAATATCAAAATTAAAATAATCCAAAAACAATAAAACTGTAATAGGAAACTCTCCCTGGGTATCCATAGGGATCCTTTACCCTCAACGTCATGGTAGAACGACGTTCAATGTCACTGCAGATCTCCGTTGACGCTAAGGCACATCGGCAGCTCAATAGACAGATATGGAAGTCCTTGCGACATGATGTTCGCAACTTTAATACAAATAGTATTAAAGAGGTGATAGAGCGGAACCAAGGCTCGCAAAGTGTTCGCAAAAGACAACTCTAATGGGCGAAGCTAGCTGACGAAGCTGAAGACTGCGAAGACTGGTGAGATTGAAAAGTTTTATGGACAGCTATATACCTCGACGAAGATATTGTGGATATCAGCATTATCAGCCTATACGAGATTAGGATGGCTCTCAAACACCTAAAGAACAAAAAGGTACCGGGTCATGACGGGATAACCTCGGAGCTTCTGAACATTGAAGTCAAGTCCTTCAGAGACTATTTAACTTCGTCTTAATCCAGGGAACAACGCCAGAGGCATGGAACAGAAGCGTGGTGGTACTCTTCTTCAAGAAAGGGGATAAAACCTTGCTGAAGAATTACTGACCCATCTCGCTTCTGAGTCATGTTTACAAGCTGTTTTCGAAAGTTATCACGAATGATCTCGCGCGTAGATTCGATGACTTATAGCCTCCCGAACAAGGCGGTTTCTAAAAAGTATTGGTACATATCGAGGTGCTGAAGTGCTTGTACAGAAACGCCACCATTTTGGTCCGAGTACAGGAGTGGAGTACGAGGGCGATTCCTCTGCAGCGAGGCATGAGGGAGATGTTATATCTCCGGATCTCCGAAACTATTCACCGCTGCATTGGAAGACGATTTCAAACTCCTTGAATAGAAAGGATTCGGCACAAACATCAACTACGAGTGCATCATTTCCCTTCGGTTTGCCGACGATATTGTGCGCACAATGTTCGAAGACCTTAATCTCCCAAAAGGTAGGCCTTCGGGTGAACAACATGGAAAAACGAAGCTTTTGTCGAATGTCTGTGTTGCGCCCTACCCAGTTTCGGTTAGGAGCTTGAATCTCGAGATTGTTGACTAGTATGTCTACCTCGGACAAACGTTTCAGCTAGGTAGAAAGAGGTCGAATCCAACTCGGCTGGGCAGCATTCGGGAAACTACACAACATCCTTTCGTTCAAAATATCTCAGTGCCTAAAGACGAAAATCTACAATCTGTATGTGTTACCACTGATGACAACTCGGAAAAGTGGCCTCTTACTATAGGCCTTATAAATAAGCTCAAAGTTGCACAGCGTACTTTGAAGAGGGCTATGCTCAGTTTTTCTGTACAAGAGACAGGGCACATAGTACGCAGAACTGAGAGACGATGGGGCAGCAAGGTTCTGGAGTAGAGGGCACGTACCGGAAAGCACAACGTGGACTTCATAAAGGTAGCAGGAAAGCACTGGATGCAGACCGCTACCAGCCGGTCATATTGGAAATCATTGGGGGAGGCCTATGTTCGGCAGTGGACGTCCTATATGGCTGAAATGATGATGATGATGAAGGTAACTATCCAGATTCAACATCTGAGTAATGAACATTGAAATTAAAAGTAACATTTAAAGTAATATTACAAAAATGAAATAAATCAAAAACACAATTGTACGAGTTTTTTGAAGCTATGTTTCGGATTGAGTTGTGGCAGAATTAAATAAAGTCACTTATTGACTTTCTTAGTACAAGTATTTTGAAGCAATGTTTTGCAGTGAGTTGTGGCAGAATTAAATAAAGTCACTTATTCAGTTTTGCCACGTATATTCTACAACAAACAGAGTTGTAATTTATGGTCAATAGTTTCACTAAACTGAAGATATCTTTGGAAATATCATAGATATTGCCACGAGAGTAAGACCAAAATATAGGTAACACTTTCTACTATACAAAAAGTGGAAAAAGTGGTTTATGCCAAAAGTGTCAGTTATTTAATTCTGCCACGACGGTGACGATATAAATGTTGCCTATAATAATGCTTTCTCCTGTAAATGATGGAAAATATAAATGCTTCTGCGGAAAAATACTAAATTATGTATAAAAATGATGTGTGTTAATCTAAAATAACATAAATATTTAACATCAATCTGTCCAAAGATTTTATGCTTTTCAAATGCGAAAAAACAAACACTAAAAAGTAGAAAAATAATTACCTACTAATTACTTATTTATTAGGACGAATTAATATTTATGTTATACCATGATTGATACTTCTGGAGTCGGTGCCAAGATTATGAAACGTGTGAAGTTTGCTTGCACCGACTCCAAAAGTATCAATCTTGGTATAACATAAATATTAATTCGTCCTAATAAATAAGTAATTAGTAGGTAATTATTTTTCTACTTTTTAATGTTTGTTTTTTGGAGTCGGATTTTTTTTTTTTTATAAAAATTAACTTATTTCTTGCTTTTTAGTTAACAAATTATTACCTTGATGTTACCACTGAAGGTAGGCAGTACATTGAGACTATATTCTTCATGTCATGTAAAATAATATTCCCTACAAAATACAGGTTATCATATCGGCAACCTAAAAAGACCTTAAACCGTCAGCCTACCTTAAAAACATGAAAGAATACAACTGTGGGTCTATTGTACCTATAATATTTAAAAAATTATCCTCCCACTCCTAAGCGTTAAGGAGTTGTACCTACCATGACCAGTTCATCATGATGAGATGATGACTATCTGATGCAAACACTTGAATAAATTTAGAAACTATAGTTATCTATAAAATTAAAAGAATTATCCTCCAACTCCTAAGCATTAAGGAGTTGTACCTTCTATCATCACCTCATCAATATGAGATGATGATTTCCAGGAGCAAATACTTGAATAACTTAAGAAAAAGTTTGAAATACGATATACGTGCCTATAAAATTTGAGGGTTGCCCTCGATTTCCCTAGGATCCCATCATCAGATCCTGACTTGGTGACAATGGGATCACCTCAGAAGTGTACCCTATCGAACAAAAAAAGAATTTTGAAAATCGGTCCACAATTGACGGAGTAATCGGTGAACATACATAGAAAAAAAAAACATACATACAGTCGAACATATAACCTCCTCCTTTTTTGAAGTCGGTTAACAAAAACATGCTCACTGTCAAAAATAAAAATTAACAATTCTACTGTTTTTAGTGATTGCTTTTATGCTATTACTTTTTTAACGTTGATATTGTTTATGTCTTCGCTCGATTCTACTATGAAATGTATTATTTTAAAGGTAAACCATGATCTTATTTATATCTCTAAGCAATAAATAATCTAAATTATTAATATGTATTAATAAAACTGCTCTTAATATACATACATCCAAAAAAAAACAACAAGCATATCCAGTTGATTAAACTAGTATGCACATTTTAAAAAAATCAATACATGTAAAACATGGGTACATTATTTTTCAAATATAGCAACACCAAATATGACGGCCATGGCACTTCTTTCAGTCACGCGAGAAAAAAATCCGAATTTGTGATTAAAAATTCTGTTGTTAAAACTTATTGTTTAAACTTTAAAGTCTTGTTGTGTTGTTTATAAAGTGTTTGAGTGTGTATTTGTGTACTTTGGCTGTGTAGTTGGCTTGTTATAAGCGAAAAAATGCAGCATTTTTTCTGTTCTACATAATGTGTTGATAAAAAAACAACGATTTTTTGTGACTGCCCATCACAGGTAGGTCGCACTTTTTTCCTCGCTGTATTGATTAACTCGCCGACGAGTTTGTGATGCTCTGTAATTTTTACGTGGCGCTGGAAACACGCGTTTTCAGGCTAAAATGGGTTATTTTGTAGTGTTTACATGCCGAAATAAGTCTAAAAATGCACGTAGTTCGTGTAGAAAACACATTTTTTATGGTTTATAGGTTTTAATTACTGAAACTTGCCATTAAACTCTAATTAAAACCACATTGATGGTATTATAGTCGTCAATTACTCAAAAAATTGGTTTGTTTACTAAAATTGAGAGGTTATAGACACAAACTTTTGATTCTTACTTGAAAAAGTTAGTAAAATTTATATTTTACTTGTATTCTACTTCACAGTACTATTTAAGTGTTTTTATTATTGAAAAAACCTATGATAAAACTATTTTTGTAAAAAAAATCTTTAATATGTTTAAAGTTCTTTTGTTGTTCTTCAGTGACTTAACCAAAATAATATTTATAACTTTCAGATAACACCAAAATGAATCAAAACATGGTTGAAATGGATCCGCTCAGTTCATACGAATACCCAGGCTACGATACGTACAACCCTGCTCCAATTATTACCCCAAATTTAATTCCCCCTAACATTATCCCCCCTAATATTATCCCACCCTACAACTATGACGTCAAAATGGAACCTCCACCGATGACAAACCATGAATTCTTCAACAACTTCCTTCAAAATGTCACCGAAAGCAACGTAAACCAAGAGAAAGTACATACAAACCTCAACGAAGAACCAAATAGAAATAACTTTAGTAATAACGTAGCACAAAATAATACAGATAATGACGTAAAACCTGATATTAAGAAAACGATTAAAAAGGAAAAATTAAAAGGGAAACGCAGCAGTTATTGGTCTGAGAAAATTACAGATGACAATTTCCAGTTTTACGGTTGTGCTATATGCAATATAAGTTACCCATCGTTAGGTGAGCTAGACCAACACGTTACTATACACAAAGATAGATTAACTAGCTACGATTTAAAAATTAAGAACTTAATGAAGAGAAAAAAGTTAAAAAAAGAACAAAAAAAGCTAAAGAAACTCAAAGGAAAGGTAAAAAAGGAAGACAAAGATTTTGAAATACCGGAAATTAAGCCAGAAGAAGGATATATAGGTAACGAAAAGGCAACGGAGTATAACGGGGATAGTTCAAATCAGAACAACGAAAACCAACCATCAAATAGTACGGATGATAAAAAAGATGTGAAATTGACGACTAACGAAGATTCAAATGCAACGGACAAGAATTTGGAGAAGATATACAAATGTTTCGCGTGTCAAAAACAGTTCACGCTTAGTTATTATTTGAAACTTCACGTGAGATCACATACAGGTAAGAGTGAAGAAATTACGTTTTCAATTTTTTGTCTTATTATTTTCCTATTAAGGTACCATGGTATTAGGTAAAAGCTAAAAGCACATCAAAGCATACTTACACCATGATTCTAAAATGCCCTTTTTCCTACAAAGTCACAGTCTGTATACAAGTTGTATTGCTATAAACGCGTTGACGGTGCGCTTAAAATATAGTATTTTAGAGTTTACTCAATATTTCTTTTTCAGCAATAATCAAAGTCAAAAACATGTGTTTCTGTCTCTATTTTTGTGTATTCTGTCTGTCTGTAATGTCTGTCTCCCAGTGTTGCCAGACGTCCCGATTTTGGCGGGACGTCCCGATTTTTAAATAAAATTTAAATGTCCCGCGCGGGACAGGCTCGGTCCCGCTTTTCGGAGAGAACTCGACCGTACGTGGCGTACGTACTAAATCTGATTTAAAATATTTTTTTTTTGTTAAAATACATTTTGTATGGCTACTTTTGCTATCTATTGTTACGTAAACGTAATTTTAAGTCAAATAAAAAGATAAATATTTGAAAACCTTTGATTATAATACGTTTTTTTACTATGTCCCGCTTCTGACGGAAGAATCCCGCTATTATCATTCAAAAAGTACCAAAATCCCGACTTGGCAAAAAAAAAACTGGCAACGCTGGTCTCCACTGTCCTTATATTACAACCAGATAAGACCCCACTGTATTAACTTGATATGCTGTCTTCCATACATTGTTGACAATGTATTTTATTAAAAACGCATTGTCAATTTGATTTCAGATGAAAAACCATACACCTGCTCAGTTTGCGGACAGTCGTTTATAACCGCAAGCAAACTTGGGAGGCACAACAAGAGAATTCATCTGTCTGTCAGATACCAATGCAGGATATGTTATAGGTTCTTCAATAGGTAAGTAAACCAACATACATGAAAAGGACCAAAAAGTTCGCAACACGTCTTTGTTACTCTTGGAATAGGGTTGTGTTTTCAACATTATGGCCACTTTCACAAAGTTTTTGGCGCTGACTGTACATAATACCCGATCAAATTAACTGCACACCGGGCAGCTCTGACGTCACATCGACGCTCTAGTACGAACGGGGCGAAAGTCTGAGGTGTGCGAGTGAATGCGAAGGAGAGTCGCATTCCAGCGAGGTGCGTAGTAACCTCGTTCGAATTTTACTATTAAAGAATTTGAATCGACATTAACACAATGGAACCTGAATGTGGTCCAGGTGCTTTCCGCGACCATCGCGTTTTCCGGTCCGTGGTCGCCATTTGAGAACTTTGCCGCCCCTAATTATTTATTTAGCCTATGAATCCAAACTCAAACGCAGCCACAAGGTGGACCGACGACCTCATAAAGGTAGCAGGAACGCGCTGGATGCAGGCCGCTACCAACCGGGCGATGTGGAAGCCATTGGGGGAGGCCTATGTTCAGCAGTGGACGTCCTGTGGCTGAAATGATGATGATGATAACGAATGCAGTTACAGATAATTTTGGAATATCTCAATTTTTAGAACCCACATAAATCAATAAAAAATTAAATTGGGTTCAATTTTAATTTTAGAATTATTTGAGAAAACCCTAGAACTGATTTAGGCTACCCCCACAGCATTTAAGCTAGAAGTTTTGTTATCATGTACCTAAATTAAAATTTAAAAACTTTGTTAAATTGTAATTTTCAGTTAATGTCATTGGTTAGTTATTTAATTTTTTAGCGTTAAGAGTCATTAAGGTCGTGGGTTCAATTTCCGCCTTAGGCAGGTTCGATTAGTTTCGATTTTTTCAAGTTATTTATAATTTTCAAATTAGTTTGAGATGCGACTCTAAAAAATAATAAAAAATTAAATGATAACTATGTAAAAGAGCTGTTTCATTTTAACTGAAATACTGACCGTAACAGCGTATTACACTTGATTTCGACTAATATCATTGGTTGTTGAAAATATGAATTTTAAAGGCTCTATTAAAAATTAATAGTTTTCAGGGCCATAATGAAGTGTTCACTGTGAATTTATGTCTAGGCATTATTATTATTGGTAAATGGTGTCAACAGTTGATCTTAATTTATTAACGACCTAGATATTCAATTGCTATCATTTAAACGAACTAGCCAATCAATAGATATCCGATTGACTGCCCTGCATTAATTTATTTTAATCTTGCAATTTATTTAACTGACATTTATGATTTTGACATTTAATTTGCTCATTATTACTTTTCTTTAACATAATATTATACTTAAAATCACGCTTTAACATTTGTATGCCGACAAGGCTGATCACGGCTTGAACACATATCTTGTTTGTACATCATACTGCTTACCTGTGTTTCACAAATAAATTATTTGAATTTGAAATTATTTGAATTTGAATAGATCTCTCAATTACTTGGCAGAGACTAAAACCTATGTACTATAAATCTTGTGTTAATGTATAAACAACAATAATGCAGTTTCATCAAAATGTGCTCAGTAGTTTTATTTTTTTTCAAATTACTGTTAATTCTTTTTCAGATTTGAAAATTTGACCGTGCACTTCGATAAGAAACACCCGGATGACAAATTGGAAGGAGAACCGTATGGTAAATATTATTATTTTTTAAATCCCACCAAAAACATAAATGTAAAAAAGGAGCGCCAAGTTCAATACAAAAATTATGCTTGGCTGTGGGCTTCGCCGCAAAAAGAATGGAGTTCTAAGAGTAGGCGCACAGCGTTGATTTTTAGTTGGCCGATAGTTGTGCCCGATTTTATTTTTGTATGAAGAATCGGCCAAATCGAATCGGCGTAGTGTGCGCACTCCCATACATGCCCATACTGATCAACTGCCCGACTAAACTATCGGCCGACGAAAAATCAACGGTGTGCGCCTACTCTAACCAACTTTTTCTTTTCAGACTTCAACGCAATCCTACCATATCTGAAAGAGCTAGAAGAACAACTGAGAGAGAAGGCAGAGGCAGAAGCCGAAGCGAAACCCAAGTCCGAGGACATGTGGGGAGACGTGTTTGAACACAACCAGACAACGGATAGTGGTCCCAGCGTACTGCCTAAGGTAAACTATAACTCAGATCCAAAATCTGCAGTTATCTTTTGCGCAACGAGCTTAAGGCTTTTTCTCAATTCAGTAGTTTTTTGCTGCGTAGTTTGGCCAAATTTTGATAAAAATTAGGCGGACTAAATTGGATTTTTTTTACTACTAATTCATATACACTACGTTATAAATTTTAGAGTAAAAACAAATTAAAAATACTCCTGTTTCACGTGTTGTGCAGTAAACAACGATTACAATATTAACAACATAACATAATCAAAATCAGAGGTGCAATTGTGCAATCGCATTCATTTGACAGTTCAAAATGGACGATAAAATCTGTGTATAGTTCCAATATACTGAACTGTCCTATCCATGACATTGACAGCGGGGCGCCACCGTCAATACCGGATCGCTGGTTCCGATTTTTGCCATGTTGGAAACCATATAGTTGAACGATGGCAGCGCCCCCCTGTCATTGAGTTTGATGGGACAGTTCAGCGTGGGTCATCTATAACAAAGCATTCGACAGAATATAGGTAACTGGCAGTTAACTTTTTTATTTTATTTTGTTTTAGAAAACCATCATTGTTACAATGTTATTTACACAATAACAAAAAGGCCAATAACAGGATTCCTTTAACATTTTAATTTTTCATCGTTTTTGGAGCACAATTAAATTAGGTTCAAAATATGGTGGGAACTATATTCCCACTCCTTTTTAAAAGCAATAATTTATTATCAATAGTATAAATAAAAGTTGGTAATGTTACCAAAATTCACATAATATAAATATTTAATCAAACTCCACAGGACGAAGACACCAAACACTTCGACCCTCCCCCTCCCATCGACGTCCAGATCGAAGAAGTCAAAGTGGACCCTCCAGACGTCGACATCGACGTCGACATCAAGCGCGAGTGTGACGACGACGCGCCGGCCGACGACGACAGCGTCAAGGACGAGAGGTAAGTAGTTAATTTAGAATGATCTCGCGGTTGACAGCGCGCGAACGGCGTTGACAGCACGCGTGAGGCGATGACAGCTTGCAAAAAGTGGTGACAGCTCGCGAAAGGCGATGACAGCTCGCAAAAGGTGGTGACAGCTCGCCAACAGCGATGACAGCTCGCCAACAGCGATGACAGTTCGCCAAAAGCGATGACAGCTCGCGAAAGGCGATGACAGCTCGCGAAAGTAGATGACAGCTCGATGGTAGCTCGTAGAAGGCGATGGCAGGTCGTGAAAGACGATGACGGCTCGCGAAAGGCGATGGCAGTTCGCGAATAGCATGACACCTCGATGGCAGCTCTCGAAAGGCATTGACAGCTCGCCAAAGGCGATGATACGGTGTTTATCCCTTTCCGTGTTCATAAACGATGCTTGCTTAAGTGAAGCAGCAACGCTATGCGAAGTAGAACGCACAGCGTTGAATAGAGCTCTGTGATTGGCTCGTGTGGGTCACTCCGCCACTCAAGTATTGTCTATAAATAGGTTTTCTGGACCCTATGTGAGTCCACGCGCTCTGTGAGACCTCATAGTAATGTTTGTGTAAGTCTGCTATGAGCTCCCATCGACGTCCAGATCGAAGAAGTGAAAGTGGACCCTCCAGACGTCGACATCGACGTCGACATCAAGCGCGAGTGCGACGACGACGCGCCGGCCGACGACGACAGCGTCAAGGACGAAAGGTGGGTAGTTTTTTTTTTTTTTTTTGCGCTCATCTGCAATCAGTCTCAAACTATAAGCAGATTTGTTCCATGCAGTTTTGACATGTTGAAGGAGCTCCCCAGCAGGATACTCCTCATTCACCATCTGTCACCAAGTATATCGTGGCGCTTCAGTCGTTTAGTGTAGCTGATGGTTGCCAACGCAGTAGCCAACTGATTTGGGTGATTTTCCAGTCGCGTTTTATATTTATTCCCTGTCAGCTTTAGCTCCTCCCTAACAGTTCTCATGCTCAGAGCTTCGTGGATTTCAGTGTTGGTAATGAACCATGGTGCATTTGAGATGGTTCTTAGGATGCCATTCTGCAGTCTCTGCACTATGTTTATGTTAGAGTCACTAGCACTTCCCCACAGCTGTGCGCCGTACATCCATATTGGTTTCAGGATCACTTTGTATATCAACAGTTTGTTGTCGATCGACAGTTTGGAGTTACGTGCCATTAGCCAGTAGATATTCCTAAACCGTATATTCAGCTCGTCTCTTTTTGTTTTGATGTGTTTTTTCCAGGTCAGCCTTTTGTCCAGATGCATACCGAGGTATCGAACAGATTCACTCTGTGGCAATACATTGCCTCCCATTTTCACTGGAGCGCAGCTTCCCCTCCTTAATGTGAACGTGACATGCACGGATTTAGTTGTGCTGGCTTTTATTCTCCATTTCTGGATCCATTCGTCGACTTTGTNTCCCATATGTTTGCAATGTTCTCGCCTTTTCTGCAAAAATTGCCATTGATTTTATGCCAAATTGAGCGGGTGTCAGAATTTTTATTTTTAGTTTTCAGAAGTGGCTTTTATGTTTTTTCGGTTTCTGTATTATTAGATTTTTAGTAAAAAGTATTAAATTTGACATATAATTTATATAAAGTCTATTAAAATGCTAAAAAAGGACCTCATATCAATTGAGGCTGAAAATTACCACTAATTGGTAATTATAGTTTTTTTCTATGTAATTATAAAAAAAATGATTGAATTCATTTACATTTGTTTTATTGACATACCAATAGTTAAATACAAATACAATTTTAAAGTAATCCACATGCAATTTTGTCAATTTTTTGATTTCGAAGTAGTAGTCTGTGAGACGTCATGTCCCTTATAGTGTTATAAAATAGTCATGTCACTGGTTAAAGGTTAAGGTACCATGGTATTAGGTAAAAGCTAAAAGCACATCAAAGCATACTTACATCATGATTCTAAAATGCCCTTTTTCCTACAAAGTTCACAGTCTGTATACAAGTTGTATTGCTATAAACGCGTTGACGGTGCGCTTAAAATATAGTATTTTAGAGTTTACTCAATATTTCTTTTTCAGCAATAATCAAAGTCAAAAACATGTGTTTCTGTCTCTATTTTTGTGTATTCTGTCTGTCTGTAATGTCTGTCTCCCAGTGTTGCCAGACGTCCCGATTTTTAAATAAAATTTAAATGTCCCGCGCGGGACAGGCTCGGTCCCGCTTTTCGGAGAGAACTCGACCGTACGTGGCGTACGTACTAAATCTGATTTAAAATATTTTTTTTTTGTTAAAATACATTTTGTATGGCTACTTTTGCTATCTATTGTCACGTAAACTTAATTTTAAGTCAAATAAAAAGATAAATATTTGAAAACCTTTGATTATAATACGTTTTTTTACTATGTCCCGCTTCTGACGGAAGAATCCCGCTATTATCACTCAAAAAGTACCAAAATCCCGACTGGGCAAAAAAAAAACTGGCAACGCTGGTCTCCACTGTCCTTATATTACAACCAGATAAGACCCCACTGTATTAACTTGATATGCTGTCTTCCATACATTGTTGACAATGTATTTTATTAAAAACGCATTGTTAATTTGATTTCAGACGAAAAACCATACACCTGCTCGGTATGCGGACAGTCGTTTATAACAGCAAGCAAACTGGGGAGGCACAACAAAAGAATTCATCTGTCCGTCAGATACCAATGCAGGATATGTTACAGGTTTTTTAATAGGTAAGTAAACCAACATGCATTGTGCCGAAGTGGTGGTAGGGCAAGCTTTGTGCCCATGGATCCCGTTTTACATCCTTTGGGGTTGAATTTTCCCAAATCCCGTCTTAGTGAGCTCCTATGTTCTAAAAATCCTTTCTTAGCGGGATGCCTACGTCATAACATCTACCTGCATGCCAAATTTCAGCCCGATCCGTCCAGTGGTTTGGGCTGTGCGTTGATAGATCACTATGTCAGTCAGTCACCTTGAGTTATATTTAGATTAATTAATTATGTTACGTTCGTTTCGTTTTTAAAAAAACTGTTTTTATTTTTCAGATTTGAAAATTTGACTGTGCATTTTGATAAGAAACATCCGGATGATAAATTGGAAGGAGAACCGTATGGTAAACATTATTATTTTGTAATCTTAGAAGTATTTATTAATTGAGAAACTCAACAGCTTATTTTACATGTTATGTTAGTTATCATTGCGACTATTTTTAAAGTGTGACGAATTTGCACAGATATATTTTGTGACGATTCATATTTCAATAAAAATGCTTGTTCACAGAAAAACAAATTATTTTATTTTGTACTAGCATCGAATAAATACTCTTCTTTCTTTCTATCATGAAAGACATTATTTTTACTAATAAAAAGTTGCTTCGATTCCTTAGGCTTATTTAAATTTAAATAAAAGTTTGATTTGCTTTCTATCCAAGACTTATGCAACAAAATTGTGGTTTATCAGACAGATAAAATCCTAATAGGCTAAAATAGACTTTTTATAAACAATTGAAACTAATCCCTAACAACAATGCAAAAAAAAACATCTAAAACTAAAAAAACATTTTTTCTTCAGACTTCAACGCAATCCTACCCTATCTAAAAGAGCTAGAAGAACAACTGAGAGAGAAGGCAGAGGCAGAGGCCGAAGCGAAACCGAAGTCCGAGGACATGTGGGGAGACGTGTGCGAACACAGCCAGCCTGCAGATAGTGGGCCCAGCGTACTGCCTAAGGTAAACTATAACTCAGATCCAAAATCTGCAGTTATCTTTTGCGCAACGAGCTTAAGGCTTTTTCTCAATTCAGTAGATTTTTGCTGCGTAGTTTGGCCAAATTTTGATAAAAATTAGGCGGACTAAATTGGATTTTTTTACTACTAATTCACAATTTCACATACACTACGTTATAAATTTTAGAGTAAAAACAAATTAAAAATACTCCTGTTTCACGTGTTGTGCAGCGAACAGCGATAATATTACAATATTAACAACATAACATAATCAAAATCAGAGGTGCAATTGTGTAAATGGACGATAAAATCTGTGTTTAGTTCCAAAATACTGAACTGTCCTATCCATGACATTGACAGTGGGGCGCCACCGTCAATACTGGATCGCTGGTTCCGATTTTTGCCATGTTGGAAACCATATAGTTGAACGATGGTAGCGCCCCCCTGTCATTGAGTTTGGTGGGACAGTTCAGCGTGGGTCATCTATAACAAAGCATTCGACAGAATATAGGTACCTAACTGGCAGTTAACTTTTTTATTTTATTTTGTTTTAGAAAACCATCATTGTAACAATGTTATTTACACAATAACAAAAAGGCCAATAACAGGATTCCTTTAACAGTTTAATTTTTCATCGTTTTTGGAGCACAATTAAATTAGGTTCAAAATATGGTGGGAACTATATTCCCACTCCTTTTTAAAGCTATAATTTATTTATCAATAGTATAATAAATAAAAGTTGGTAATGTTACCAAAATTCACATAATATAAATATTTAATCAAACTCCACAGGACGAAGACACCAAGCATTTCGACCCTCCCCCTCCCATCGACGTCCTGATCGAAGAGGTCAAAGTGGACCCTCCAGACGTCGACATCGACGTCGACATCAAGCGCGAGTGTGACGACGACGCGCCGGCCGACGACGACAGCGTCAAGGACGAGAGGTGGGTAGTTAAACAATTATAATATAACCCAGGAAGAGTCCAGAACAATCCCCCTTCCCTTCCACAGCTCGCCAAAAGCGATGACAGCTTCGCAAAGGCAGTGACAGCTCGCGAAAATCAATGTCAGCTCGCGAATGGCGATGACAGGTCGCTAAAGGTGGTGACAGCTCGCGAAAGGCGATGACAGCTCGCCAAAGGCGATGACATGTCGCAAAAGGCGATGACAGGTCGCGGAAGGCGGTGACAGCTCGCCAAAGGCGATACGGTGTTGATCCCTTTCCAATTCAGAGTTAATAAGTCTGCTATGAGCTCCATGAAGCAGCAACGCTATGCGAAGTCGAACGCACAGCGTTGAATAGAGTTCTGTGATTGGTTCGTGTGTCACCCTGTGCGTCCAGGCCGCACTGTGAGACCTCATAGTAATGTTTGTCTAAGTCTGCTATGACTCCTCCTATCGACGTCCTGATCGAAGAGGTCAAAGTGGACCCTCCAGACGTCGACATCGACGTCGACATCAAGCGCGAGTGTGACGACGACGCGCCGGCCGACGACGACAGCGTCAAGGACGAGAGGTGGGTAGTTAAAAAATATTATAGGCTTATTGGTAAACGACGTAGCACTATTGGCGTAGACAAGAAGAGTCCAGAACAACCCCCCCTTCCCTCCCACAGCTCGCTAAAGTCAATGTCAGCTCGCGAAACAGCTCGCGAATGGCGATGACAGCTCGCGGAAGGCGATGACAGCTCGCGAAAGGCGATGACAGATCGCGAATGGCAATGACAGCTCGCGAAAGGCGATGAGAGCTCGAGAAAGGCGATGACAGCTCGCAAAAGGCGATGACAGCTCGCCAAAGGCGATGACGGCTCGCCAAATGCGATGACAGCTTGCCAAAGGTGATGACAGCTCTCGAAAGGCGATGACAGCTCGCGAATGACGATGACAGCTCGCGAATGACGATGACAGCTCTCGAAAGGCGATGACAGCTCGCGAATGACGATGACAGCTCGCGAAAGGCAATGACAGCTCGCGAAAGTCAATGACAGCTCGCCAAATGCGATGACAGCTCGCCAAAGGCGATGACAGGTCGCAAAAGGCGATGACAGGTCGCGGAAGGCGGTGACAGCGACATAATATGACTTGTGGCGACATCTATCGACGCGCCACTACCTACAGTCGTCACCCAACAGATGGCGCTGGCGTACCTTTCTATGGCACGCGCCACCGTGCCTACAATCCTGTATCGTGGTATCAAAGTTTTTTGACCTGGGGGCAGCTGGGCAGCCCTAATTCGGTTGCAAATGGCTTGAGTAAATACGTCATATTATTTGTTTAGGAAAGTATTTTGGTGTTTCAGAAACATGTGTACTCCTTCAAATATTATTTAACAGAAACACCGAAATAGTACTTTACTAAAAAAATAAGTGTGACGAATTTACTCAACCCATTTTCACGAAAAAACGTATTGTTACTATTGAGTGAATTCGTCACGTTTTACTTTTTTGTCAAGTCACTTTTTATTGTTAGTTATTTTGTATATTGAAATTGCGTGTATAAACTGGTCACAGGTTTATTTTTTGTAATCATTATTTTCGACCTTTTATCCTTAGAAGTCTAACAAATATTTCAGCTCCAATTGTTTCTTTTCCAGATATTCCGACGACGATTACTTCCCATCCAACACATGGGCAGCCTCTCCCAAGATAGAGGAAGTTCCTCCCCCCTCCCCGACCCGCCACAAAAGGACAAAAGGCGACGGCCCCCTCAAATGTGACGTGTGTTCTAAGAGCATTAGCACAGTGTCCTATATGAGGGTGCATATGCGGACCCATACTGGAGAAAGGCCTTTTAAGTGTTATGTGTGTGGGAGGGGCTTTATCACGTCGAGCAAGATGCATAGACACGTGCTGACTCATCAGGAGACTTGGGAGGGTGAGTTGCTTGAGTATTTTACATGTAGCTTTCAAATAAGGGGGTGCATATGCAGCTTCATATTGAAGAAAGGCCTTATAACATCACGCAAGATGCATAGCAACGTTTTGACTCATTAAAAGACGTGGGAAGGTAAGTTACTGTATTATTTTCTATGTAGCTTTCAAATATAAGAGGGTGCATATGCAGCCTCATAGTGAGGAGAGGTCTTTTAACATCAAGCAAGATGCATAGCATCGTTTTGACTCATTGGGAAGCCTGGGAAGGTAAGATACTGTATTATTTTATATGTAGCTTTCAAATAAGAGGGTGCATATGCAGCCTCATACTGAGGAGAGGCCTTTTAACGTCAAGCAATATGCTTAGACATGTGCTGACTCATCAGGAGACTTGGGAAGGTGAGTTCATCATCATCATTATCATCATTTCAGCCACAGGACGTCCCCTGCTGAACATAGGCCTCCCCCAATGATTGTCATGAAGGCCAGTTGGCATCGGCCAGCATCCAGCGCCTTGCTACCTTTATGAGGTCGTCAGTCCACCTTGTGGGTGGACGTACTACGCTGCGTTTTCCGGTGCGTGACCGAGGACCTCATAAAGGTAGCAGGAAGGCGCTGGATGCAGGCCGCTACCAACCGGCCTTTATGGAAATCATTGGGGGAGGCCTATGTTCAGCAGTGGACGTCCTATGGCTGAAATGATGATGATGATCCCTACTGGGTTTTGTCAAAAGTTCTGTCCTTTCTGGACATATTGGTATTTATGTGTCTTTTTTTATCCACAACGAGAAAGCTCTTGGCCTGTATCTCACCTGATGGTAAGTGACGATCAGACCGAAGGTGGAAGCGAGCTTCACCCGGAATCCTCAACCACGGAGGAACTGGCTATCTTACCTCTAACTGCCGGAACACAACAATGCTGTTAACATTGTTATGGCGACAGACTTAGGTAAGATGGTGGTAGCGAGCCAGGCGGGCTTAGAACAAGCCCTACCACCAACAAAACCGAACAGAATAATCTGCCCCCACTGGGAATCGAACCCGGGACCTCTGCGTCTGAAGCAGGTGGTCTTACCACTAGACCACAGAGGCGGTTTAAATATATTCTGATATATTTTTGTCTGTTTGTCATCAGGTGACGAAGCTCCAGTGAAATTAGAAGATGTAAAGCCAGACATGGAAGAAACGGGTAAAGATGGGAAATTGGATAAAAAGTAAGCAATCTTAAAAATCATTCAATTATTCCCTTCACTTGAACTGTCATTTAAGTTCCTGATAGGCTATTTGCGAGCACTAAATAAAAGATACTCACAAATCGTCAAATACCTCTAAGTTTAACTGACAAAGTTCCTGATATGTCATCAACAGCAAGTAGAAACTCTAATCTAAAGGCTGATTTTTCAATCGTCGGATAACTTTTAACTGAAGAATAAGTTTGGTACATTGACAGTTTTAGTATATTAAAAAATTAAAAATATGTCCGACGATAGAAAAATCAGCCCTAAAGCTATTTGCATTAGTTTATACTTACAGTTAATTCTGGCCCTTATATTTATCTGACAGATAAGCTCCTGATAACCTATCAGCAAGTTGTAACTAAAGCGATTTGCATCTACATAGTTTATATTACAAATCGTCAATTTTGGCACTTATATTTATCTGCCAGATAAGTTCCTAATAACCTATCAGCAAGTTGAAACCAAAGCGATTGCATTACATAGTAACTTAGAAATCATCAATTTTGACTTGTCAGGAATTTATCTGTCAGATAAGTTCCTGATAACCTATCAGCAAGTTTTAAACTAGTTATTTATTTTCAGAAGTCTAATAAAGAAGGCCAAAGCGAAATTCAACAAGAAGCAAGGTCCGGGCGAAAAGCAGAAGAAGTATAAGAAACGGCCGCACGCGTGCGAGTTCTGTCATAAACGGTTCCTGCATTTGGAGACTTTGCAGGTAATTTGTCTGATATCTATACTTCTATAGCACTATAGGTCTAAAGTCCAGTCGCCGAGCACATAGAATTTCGTCCAATGACCCCAAGCTACCCATCCTTATCGCTCGCGCGTAATTATATTGCCATCCTCTCGCACACTCACTGCGGGCGCCCGTCGCACAGTCGCGACAGCAATATAATTACGCGCGAGCGATAAGGATGGGTAGCTTGGGGTCATTGGACAAAATTCTACGTGCTCGCAGACCAGACTATAGTCAATATGTGAAATATAAGTTGCATGTAATCATTAATTACATTCATTTATTAGCACATTCACACATTGTAACGCACATAATATTATTATTCACAGAAAGGTGTTCTATGTATAATATGTAAAAATACAGTGTGAGTCACAATAAAGTGTACATTTGAAATTAGGTGATCATAGCAAATGTGATAGGGATAGAGACATGCGATTGTTGGTTTTACAAATAGGTAATACGATAGAGAATAATACAAAGTAATAAAAACCACCTGTTATGGGGGCATTTTTTGGAGAAATTTATCAAATAACCAAAAAAAACACGAATTTTTAGTTTACACGAAAAGTAGTTTTTTTTAAGTATCATTTTTTATTGTTTGTTGGTATTTTCTGAGTATTTTATGTATTTTTTTAGTATCGTCTGTTATTTAGCATTATTACTGTTTTATTTTATCAGGATATACCTCTTAGTTTTAAAGTTATTACGTTTTCTTTACAATAAGTAGTTGGAAGAAAAAAAAACATTTTTTTTTAAATCTTAAACAATTTTTGACCACTTTTTTGTGGAAAAAATAGGTCTAGTTTTACCTAATTTAATATGTGCACTTTATCGTGACTCACACTGTATACACACAAATATTAGCATTTATTGAGCATCAAACCCACGACCAATACGACCATCATTCCTTTTGAATTCAATGTTTAATGAACACAATATCACTGTTCAATAATGTGTGTTCTATCTATCTTATTGTAACAGGTCCACAAAAAATGCCACGACGGTGAGGATCTAGTAATGAAATGCAACTTCTGCCTGGAGACGATGCCTGATGAACCGACGCTCCGGGAGCACGAAGCCACACACAGCGGACCGAGGCCCTACCTATGCACGATATGCGGCAAGGGATACAAGAAGAAAGAGACCATGGTCAGTATTAGGAACTAGTATTTTTATCACGTGACTGGAGCTAGTATTATTATAAGGTGTCTGGAGCTAGTATTTTTATCACGTGACTGGTAACTAGTATTTATATCACATGACTGGAACTAGTATTTTATTCTTGCTATTTAAAAAATGCGGGAAGAGCTACAAGAGACTATGGTTGGTACTTAGTATTTTGAAGCTGGTTATATTTGGTCACGAGCCTGGAGCTAGTATTTTTATCACGTGAAAAAAGGCGGAACTTCTCCCAATGTCTTAGGGTCCATTCCGCCATAGGCAATTAAATTTTTTCAAGAAATTGAAAATTAATTTTGAGATGCGACTTACCGCTAAAAATTTTAACAACTTATCCAGTTGGTTTACTGTTCGTATAAGAACATAACGATGTATGTGAACACCTACTCGTATAAGAATGTGGGTCTTTTCTTCCTTTTAAAAAACCTCTTTGTATCCGGGCTAATATAAGGTACTTGTAGTAAGGTACTAATAGTATAAGGGCTACCTTTTTCTTTTTTTATTATTTTCTATTGACGTTCATAAGTGCCACTTGTGGTCTAAACTGAATAAATATTTTTTTGATTTTGATTTTGATTTTTGATCCACAGGTGTACCACCGCAAGCACCATAAGCCAGACAAGGATTACATCTGCAACGTGTGCTCCAAGTCCTTCAACGCGCCGTGCAAGTTGCAACGACATATCGTCAGCCATAGAGCTGACAAATTCGTGCTTAGGTGAGTTACTGACGTCAGTTTCGGGACTATTCCCACCTCTTGTGTAGCCAGGATCTACAGCTTGACCGCCAATAACCCAACCTGTGAAGGTCAAACCATATGACTAAAGTCCGGTCGCCGAGCAGATACAATTTCGTCCAATGACCCCAACCTACCCATCCTTATCGCTCGCGCGTAATTATATTGCTGTTGCGGCTGTGCGACGGGCGCCCGCAGTGAGTGTGTTAGTGAATTACATTATTATTAAATAAATACATAATATGTCGAGTAAATAGGGCTATAGAGCCATCGTTCCATAAAGCAACAACCACGAGCTGTCAAACGAAACCAATTTTGGATGACACTTGTGTGTCAGTGTCAGGATTTTTCACTATTTTGTACAATAAACCAATCACTGAACCAGTCACCACGTTTCTGAAGCACTTTTCACATAAACATGCACGATTTCACTCACGTAAAATTTTCAGTGTGCCACTGCGTGCCTCTGAACTGTCAAATTATTGCAAAAAACGGTTCTGTTTGACGTGACGGCGACGGCGTCACGCATCTCTTTTTATCACAGTGTTGCTGCTAGTGACATCTCGCTCGCTCAGTTCTTTGTTGCTCTATTCCGCTAGGTATATTAACTTTGTGGTTCACTCCAAGTTATTCAACGCGTCCTGCAAGTTACAACGACATATTGTCAGCCATAGAGCTGAAAAAAGCGTGCTTAGGTGAGATACATTCACAGATCACAGAAACTAAAGGGAGATTTGAAAAGGGGGCGTGGCCGGTGTCGCAGCAATATGCCCAAAAACGGAACACATTGCTTGCGTAGTCATCATCATCATTTCAGCCATAGGACGTCCACTGCTGAACATAGGCCTAGCGCAATGCTTTCCACGTTGATCGATTGGTAGCGGCCTGCGTCCAGCGCTTCCTGCTACCTTTATCAGGCGTCAGTCCACTTTGTGGGTAGACAATAATTTGACCAGAGGTAAATGGAGGATTTGGCCTACGCTTAGCCAGACGGGTTTGGGAGGAGTGTCATTCCAAAAGACTAGTATGTGACCACCCCTGGATATCGTAATAGATGACTAAGGGAGAAATATACTCAACATCAAATAAATCGCACCTTCCGCGACGCGAACTTTAAAGATTTTCTTCTGACACAATCATGGTGCCCCAACAATATTGGTGTTATTTGAAAGCCCAATAAATAAACTTAAAGAAAAACACAATTAATTTTTTTATAAACACTTAACAGGTACCATAAATGTGACTTAAAAAGGCCTCACTTGGGGCTCACCTCTGGGAACAATCAGACCAATTTTTGTGGTTATAAAACCAAATAATCATCTTACGTGTCCTTTTTAACAGATGGATAGCGATTAATCCCAATTTAACAGTTTTATAGCCATAAAAATTGGCTCAAGCGTAATTACCTATTTTTTGAAAAAGTGACTCTGGATCCTTCTAAAACACATTTTTGGGGTAAAAACCTTTCCTTTAATGAAATTAAGCTTAGAACTAGGCTTTCAAAAGAACCAATGTTGGTGGGAAGCGGGGATGCATACGTTTGAGAAGTGCTTGTTGCGGGAGGTGCGATTTATTTGATGCCGAGTGTATGTGAATAATTGAATATTATATAAGTGACTGAGTTTCTTGCGCTGCTTTCTCAGCACTGGCCCATTTATTGTCCCGAAGCAGTGGTAGGGTTAATACTGGGACGTGTGAAAGTGCTTTTTAAAAGCCTACTTGCAAAAAATTTAGTTTTATAAGTTTTATTATTATGTAATTATAAAAATCACTGTTTTTGTCACAGGTACGAATGTCCAGTTTGCGCTCACATGTTCAACACGAAATACCACGTCCAAATGCATCTGGCGACGCACCAGAAAGAGGGGCTGTGAGTATTTTGGAACTATACTGGTCATCACAAAAATCGGCCCACTTACGTTTTACAGGAAAACTCGTTTCTACTGACACAATCATGGTGCCCCAACAATATTGGTGTTATTTGAAAGCCCAATAAATATCCTTAAAGATAAACGTTTAATTTCTTAATAAACGATTAACATTATACTCGTATACAATAAATGTGACTTGAAAAAAGACCTCACTTTGGGCTCACCTCTGGGATCAATTAGACCAATTTTTATGGTTATAAAACCAAATAATGATCTCACGTGTCCTCTGTGGCGACGCCACTACAAAACTAGTGACCAACAACAGATGGCGCTGTTACTACTTCACTATGGCACACTCCGCCGCTCATACAAACCTGCATCGCGGTGACGGAGTTTTATATCCTGCCAAGTATATATAGGCAAACCAAGATGGTGTAAATTGGACCTTGGTCCCCGAGCATAACACCCGCTTGGAAGGAAGCACTAAAATCTAGCTTCCTTATTGTGGTTGAGCATCATATCCCACACCTCTTTAACAGATTGATAGCGATTAATCCCAACTTAACAGTTTTATAGCCATAAAAGTTGGCTCAAGCGTAACTACCTATTTTTTGAAGAAGTGACTCTGGATTCTTCTACAGACACATTTTAGGGGGAAAAACCTTTCCTTTAATGAAATGAAGTTTAGAACTAGGCTTTTAAATGGTGCCAATATTAGTGGGAAGTGGGGATGCATACGTTTGAAAGTGCTTGTCGCGGGAGGGTCGATTTTTGTGATGACCAGTGTAGTATTTTGGAACTGTTATCTTTGTCACTTGATTGATGACACTAACATTTTGGCATAATGTTTTATCTTGATTTGGAAATTATTACACTCGTATTCACAAACGATGCTTGCTTAAGTCAAGCAGCAAATCCAACGCACAGCGTTGAATAGAGCTCTCTGATTGGTTCGTGTGTCACCCTGTGCGTCCACGCGCACTGTGAGACCTCATAGTTATGTTTGTGAATACGGGCGTAAGTGTCAATGTAAAGAACACTCGTAACATATTATTTTAATAACTAGCGGCCGCCCGCGACTTCGTACGCGTGGATCCCGTTTTATCCCCTTAGGGGTGGAGTTTCATAAAATCCGTTCTTAGCGGATGCCTACGTCATAACATCTACTTTCATTCCCAATTTCAACCCGATCCGTCCAGTGGTTTGGGCTGTGCGTTGATAGATCACTATGTCAGTCAGTCACCTTTGAGTTATATGTATTTAGATTTGAATAATAATGACATATTATTTTCAATTTTCAGCATAATGGAAGAAAACCGCAACGAAATCCTAGCAATGGTGCTCCAAAACGCTCGAAAAATACCCAAGCAAACAGACGGTAGTGCAAATCTAACGGATCTGATACCTTCAGACGAGCGATCGCGCGTTTGCAACATTTGTGGCGAAGTTTTTCAACATTTCTATTATTTAGAAGAACATCTGAAAGGCCACGGCTCTAGAATAGCTTTAGAAGATATAACCAAACCTGAAGAGAAAAAACATGTCTGCCAAGTATGTAATAAGAGTTTTAAACTGCATTATTATTTGAAATTGCACAGTTTTACTCATACGAAGGAAAAACCATTTATATGTCAGCAATGTGGGAAAGGATTTATAACTAAAGGCAAACTCAAGAGGCATCTTGAGACGCATACCGGTCTCAAGAAATACCAGTGTCATATTTGTTACAAATTTTTCACGAGACCCAGTTATTTGCGAATTCATGTACGGACGATACATGGGAACCAAGATTATAATTTTAGGCTTGAAAAGAACTATAGTGTTGGCTCTATGTCGATGATGAGCCAATCTAGCATGTAGACTTGCGACTAAGTCGCAAAAGCGTGCGACTAAGTCGCAGAAACGTGCGACTAAGTCGCAAGTTTAGTGAAATTTGTTACAGCAAAATTTTTTGCGCTTGACTCAGTCATAGACTTGCGACTAAGTCGCAGAAGCGTGCGACTAAGTCGCAAGTTTAGTTAAATTTGTCGCAGCAAAATTTTTTAGCGCTTAACTCAGTCAGTGCCTGAGGTATGGGAGCGGCACGGGAGGGGTGACATTGACATATACAGGGTGGAATTTTGTAATGCCATCTGGAGGGAAAGTAAGACTTAATATTGTAGATAGAATTTTTTTCCCCAAGAAAACATTCCTATATTTTTTTAAAGAAATAGAACTGCATTCAACAAAGATTCCTAAGCTCTGTTAAAAATTACACCCTGTATTTTTATTGCATCGATCGTTAGGGTTATGTATAAGGACAAAATCTCTCTAACAAACTTGATTAATCAAATGAAGGAAAACCTGAAATCTTAAATTATTTTAATTTTACAGAAAATTGTATGGTATGGTGGTGAATTTTCGAAAAATTTTAGAAAGTCTTTGAATGCTATTCTATTTCTTTTCAAAAATAAAAGAATGTTTTCTTTGACTCATTTTTTCTATCTAAAATATGAAGATTTTTTCCTCTAGGTGGCATTAAAAAAATTCCACCCTGTATACTGGATTATTAGTTCCGATTTTTGCCACGTTGGACCACCATATAATTCTGACATTTACAGGAGGGCGTTACTGTCAATACTGGGATGTTAGTTTTAGATTTTTGCCACTTGACGTTTCAGAATCGCGTGACTATAATTATGACTTGATAGGGCATATAAAATCCTGAAGTCTCGCTGACGTATGTTTGTCTCGAAGCGCTGGTAGGGCCCAAAAGATAAGGAGACATGTAAAGTGCCCCATAAGGGCTACCTTTTCTTTTTTTATTATTTTCTATTGACGTTCATAAGTGCCACTTGTGGTCTAAACTGAATAAATATTTTTGATTTGATTTGATTTGTATGACGTCATAAAAACTCCCTCCCGACTGAGTTAGCGCTACAGCTTTAGATACAGTTACAGATGAATTCCATAAGAAATGCATTCAATTTTAGATTTTAAAGTGCACTAATATTGAACGTTGTTTGTTGCACTTAAAGCTTAGTATTGCATTTTCTACAGCTTAGAGGTCTCGGTTCGATTCCCAGTGTAGCAAAAAATTCTGTTTGGTTGGTGGTATAGATCGTTTCATCCACGAAGACGCGCCCCACCATTCTTCCGCTAATGTTTGAGTGTTATCGGTACACGCTAAATGATCCATGAGTGCACACGCACACTACAATAATGCCTTACGGATTGCTCGGACCACACTCCCCGCAAAAATCAAAATCATTTATTCAGTTTAGACCACAAGTGGCACTTATGAACGTCCAAATGTAAATAATAAAAAAAGAAAAGGTAGCCCTTATGGGGCACTTTACATGTCTCCTTATCTTTTGGACACCCCGCGCGACCGAGACCAAACATTACTAGGGCGCGTCCGAGTGGATGAAACGATCTATACAGGGTGTTAGGTAAATGGGTTTACACATGTTAACTTGGGCTAGTGTCGGCTTATAAACCCATTTACCTACCACCCTGTATAGGGCTTGTTCTAAGTCCGCCTGGCAAGCTACCACCATCTTACCTAAGTCTGTCGCCATAACAACAATGTTAACAGCATTCTTGTGTTCCGGCAGTTAGAGGTAAGATAGTCAGTTCCTCCGTGGTTGAGGATTCCGGGTGAAGCTCGCTTCCACCTTCGGCCTGATCGTCACTTACCATCAGGTGAGATACAGGCCAAGAGCTTAAAAAACTAGTACGAGTAATTTGAATTAAAATCGAAAAATCGACATTTCAAATATCGATTATACGTGCAACACTAAGATTTTTTATACCTCAGTGATTTTTCAATATTTGTATTCTTGTTACTTACCAGTGTTGTGTATAAATATTATTATTTTTGTATTTCTCATTAAAATTAGTAATGTATCGGATCTTGCCTTTGTTTACATATTTCTAAATAAATAAATATTGTAAATAGTTTAAATAATTTGTAAATATTATTATTATAATTAGAAGTCTTTAGTTTTATAATGTTAAGTTTAGTTTTAGCGAATTTTTAAATTGTTCCCGAACTAATATTAGATATTAATGGTTTTTTGTATATTTTTCTATTGAGACTTAAATTTTTTTAGGATTTTTCTCAGTCATTTTTAAAATACATCACAAAATTTTCTTGTATCACAATTTTAATAGTATATTAATAAAATAACATGGCGTGCACCATCTTATAACGCGGTCGAGTTAAGGTCGTAGCACACTTATCAACCCGGAAACGGATCGTAACCGTATCGACTCGAGGCGGTCAATATTCTTTGTATGAAACTCCATACTGCAACGCATACTTATCCGCACCGTAACTTACTGTATTCACAAACGATGCTTGCTTAAGTGAAGCAGCAAATCGAACGCACAACGTTGAAAGAGCTTTGTGATTGGTTCGTGTCACCCTGTGCGTCCACGCGCACTGTGAGACCTCATAGTAATGTTGACAGCGCGCGAAAGGCGATACGGTGAGACTTTTCCGAGTTGATAAGTCTGCTATGAGCTTTAACTGCACACCTTGCGGCCATGACGTGCCTTCTTCTCAGCACTGGCCCATTTATTGTCCTGAAGCAGTGGTAGGGTTAACACTGGGACGTGTAAAAGTGTTATTTTCAAGCCTATTTGCATAAATAAATTATAGTCTGGTCTGTGAGCACGTAGAATTTTGTCCAATGACCCCAAGCTACCCATCCTTATCGCTCGCCCGTAATTATGTTGCTGTCGCGCTCGCACACTCACTGCGGGCGCCCGTCGCACAGTCGCAACAGCAATATAATTACGCGCGAGCGATAATGATGGGTAGCTTGGGGTCATTGGACAAAATTCTACGTGCTCACAGACCGGGCTTTAGTTTTTTTTAGTTTTTATGACGTCACAGTGTGCGAGGGAATGTCGCATTCCAGCGAGGTGCGCAGTTAGCTTAATCCGGTTGTACTTTAAATATAACAAACGTCAAGTTTGTCAAACTTCATGCAAAAACACCGGTTGAAGTTATAGTTGCGATTAAAGTTAAGGTGATGCTTTTTTATTGAAAATAATTTTACAGTTTTTGGTGGTTTTGGCGTTGCTGTTAGCTAGGAGATATATTTCTTGTGATGTTAGACGACAGTATACAGAATATCGTTTGAAAAAATGCTCAATTTCTATTTGTTTTAACACCACTAATCGATTGTCAAATATTATAATCCAAAACACTATTGAACGTAATCGATCTATAACGTCAATTATTCACCAATTGGCGCCACGATCGAGTAAGGTCTTGTCACTCGCTGGTGGCCGAGACATTGGCGGCAATTGGTGAGCGCATAGAGTAGTCAGTGGCGACAATTGGTGAAGGAAGACATAGTTGTCAGTGGCGCCAACTGATGAACGCATAATTGCCATTGGCGCCAATTGGTGAACTTATAATCGCCAGTGTTATTTATTAGTGGCGCCAACTGTTTTTTTTTTAATTTATTTAATGAGCAATAATAATAAGCTTACAGAAAACCCAAAGCGCATACATGTTTAGTCACCCACCACATCGATTACAATAAAATTATAAGTCAAAAAATTATACAAATTATCAAATTAAATTCTGCGCATAATCATTTGGCGCCAAAAGCCTAGTCTGACGTCACACGGCATCATTTGTAATATATAACGGCAGATATATCTTCTAGTATAATATGGTGTATTTCACAAGCATTTTTATACAGGGTGTTAGGTCGCTTAATTAGTTAAGTTTGAGAATATCTGAGTTGATCTCTAGAATGCTAAGTTTTTTAATTATTTCAAACATATGTAAATGTACCTGTCGATATACAGAATACAGGTGTCGCACGCAAACCATACAGGTTTTGGCCACTTTGGGTGTCACAAACTATTTGACGCTGACTGTTGAGGTTTCTATGAAGCTGTGATTTAACTCGCACTAAGCGTTTCGCTAACTCTTTTATAATGCGAACAGCTAGGGACTGGAAATCGCTGCCTGCTGCTGTCTTCGGGCATTTTCAAGGCGAGAGTGAATAGGCACTTACAGGGCAGATATTATTGTGTACCATCCTAGACTGCATCTCACTTAACACCAGGTGCGATTGCGGTCAAATACCTGCCTTGTTCTGTATTAAAGAACAGCACATCTGAAATCTTGCTGACGTTTTGACGTTACAAAAACACCCTCACAAAATGTTATACTACCGCTGAGTTTTGCGCTATACGTATGTTTTTAATGTTTTACCAATGTTTTTACACGATTAAGTTTAAGTTAATTATGTATTTAGCAATATGTTGGTATAATATGGTGTATATTTTCAGGTTGTTGATTATTTGTAAAAAGCAAATAAATGATTAAGTTTTATTCGTTAGTTTAATTTCATTCATTTATTTACACTAAAGTTAATACTTAAAGAGGATTTCAATATTTGAATTAAACTAAATAAAAACTATACTAAAGTCCGGTCGCCGAGCACGTAGAATTTTGCTCACACACTAACAGCGGCCGCCCGTCGCAAAGTCGCAACAGCAATATAATTATTATACTTATGCGAGCGATAAGAATGGGTAGCTTGGGGTCATTGGACGAAATTCTACGTGCTCGGCGACCGGACTTTAGTGGTTCCAAATCGGAACCAGCGATCCGGTATTGACGGTGGCGCCCCACTGTTAATGTCACTGATGGGACGGTTCGTTGTAATTGGTCAATAAATGCTTGTGGCTATGATAGTGGTGACCCCCACTGGTGAGTGAGCGCTGAAGCTGTTAGGACTTATCTATATATATAAAAATGAAACCCGTTTCGCGTTGTCACGGCATCACGTGTGAACGGCTGAACCGATTTCGATAATTCTTTTTTTTAAATGTTTGTGGAAGTCCAAGGATGGTTCTTACGGAAAAAAATATTAAGAAAATCTCTACGCTAAGGCGGTACGAAGTTCGCCGGGTCAGCTAGTATTTAATCAAAATTAAAAATATTTTATTCATTTTGGCCCTTATGAACATCAAAAATAATAATAAAAAAGGTAAGCCCATAAGGGGGCATTTTACGTGTCTCCGTCAGTTGGCGCCACGGTCTTGCCATTCGCCAGGGGCGCCAACTCAAGTGCTTATACTGTAATTTTCATTTTTCTTTGATAACATTTATTAGGAATATTAGGATCAATGCTATTTTGCCGATTTATTAAAAAAAATCGAAAATATTGATTTATTCACGAAAAACACCCTGTATTTCTGTGTAACCTAAGAAGTATGAGTTTCATACTGCTTCCTTCAAATCCTTTTTGGTAAAGAAATGAAAAGAACAAATTGACAGGACATTTGACAGAGGATTGGCAATCATCAAAATTTTTGTGTTAAAAATCTTGTTTTATTTCACAAAATTTTTAGAAAGAATCCAAATGAATGGTTAATAATTGAAATGATTCAACGAACGAAGAGTTGAAGCAGCAGTATGGACCACACTGCTGAAACTTATAGAGTAAAGGTGAGTCCCAATGTAGGTCGTCCACACTGTCCGTGACAGATGGAAATTCAAGCTGACGCAAGAATGTTGTCATCAAACTTGGGTCCTTTCCAGGGCGCTTAAAAACGTCCCAAATAATAGCATGCCCTATCACCACTTCGGGACTACATATTGGCTGGTGCTGAGAAGAAGATTCACAGCATTTCACAAGTTCATCATCAGACAATAGGATTCACTGCTGTTGGGTACTGTCTATGACAGCATAAAATAGTCCACTGCTGGACAATATGGACATAGGCCTGCCCCTATGCGGGGATCGAACTGGGACCTTTTGCACAGCCATTTTTCATGATTCCTAATGTGAAGTCCTATTATATTCTACAAAAATGTAAGCAGGGTAAAATAGCGCATATTATCGGAGGGCTTTGTCCCGCAGTGGACGTCCTTTGTCTGAAACGGGTAGTTAGAAAAGGTTATGCTACTGCAATGGAGACAAAATATGACTTGTTGATGATGATGACCTCACAAATTGACATCCTATCCCTTCAGGGACTAAATAATATGCACCTAGGTCCAACTAAAACCGAAAAACTAAGCAAGTGATGTACGAGACCATAAACTTACATTAGCGGACTGTATAATATCCATCATCATCATCGTTTCAGCCACTGTTGAACATAGGCCTCCCCCAATGATTTCCACATCGCCCGGATGGTCGTCGGTCCTCCTTGAGGGTGTAGGACCCTGCGCTTTCCGATAAATGGCCTCCAGAACCTTGCTACCCCATCGGCCATTGGCAGCCATTGGTAAAATATCCAAGGATACTTATTTAACTAATNTAGCTAACACTGCAGGTCCACCGAGACGAATCAACTGTGCGATGCCGAGCCAAGAATTCCTCCTGCTGTATGGACGGCTGCCCGAAGCCTAAGAAGAAAAAGGGCTCCAAATGCAAGACCAAAAAGAACCCATCGCTGGACACCATCAAGAAATCCTTGAGCGTTAACTGCTGTGCATGTTGTTGTGTGTTAGCAGACTACATAAAAGAAGCCTGCAAGCTTATATGCTCTTGTTTGAACGAAAAACCGACAGAGACCAGAATCTGCGAGTTGTTCTCCCAATTGTTGGAACTATCCTGGTGTCTAGGTTCCGATTGTTGTCACTTGATCAAGCATTTGTTCAGATTTTTGTGCGTTTACAAGAAGTGATTTGGTCTGTCAAACTTTTTGAGGCAATAAAAGTTTGTGATGTAGTTGGCGTTTGATTTTGTAAAAAGTCCGGTCGCCGAGCACGTAGAATTTCGTCCAATAACCCCAAGCTCACCTTTTCGCTCGCTTTATTATATTTCTGTCGCGACTGTGCGACGGGTGGCCGCAGTGAGTGTGCTCGGCGACCGTACTTTAGTTGACATTTGAGTTATTTACAACCGGGTGAAGTTAACTGCGCATCTGGCTGCCGTGACGTCACATCGACACTGGTACGGTAGGGGCGAATGCGTGGAGGTGTGTGCAGGTGAGTGCATTCCAACGAGATGCGCAGTTAGCTCGGCCGGGTTGTAGATTGAGAAATAATTTTATGGCACAATTTTAGCAAAAATGAATTTATTTTTTGTCCTACCCCACAAAAAACACCACTTGCTAAGCAATTGTGACAGATTTAATTCTGCAAAATTACGTGAATGCGCGGTATACTTAGTCGTAATATAAAAAAAAATAGGAAGCAGTTTGGTGTGTAATGTAAAAAGGAAAGAATTGCACACGTACCTTTAGCTACTCGAGAGTGCAGATGGACCTGTAGACGCATACGCGCATACGTAGCACACATTTCTCACAGTACACTATACAAAGCACACAAGTCAATTTAAACCATTAATACTACAAAATATCACGTGAATTTAATAATTTTGCGGAGCGATCACCACCATCACCCCCGCCCCGGCGGTGGTCGTTCGAAAACTGACAATTGACGAACAGCGACATCTAGCAAGTCACTGCGGAAACTAGTGGCGCCGCCATATATCCCGTCCACTTCTTTTAGTCATCCTTATTATGGATAGTTATTTTTAAAGTTTAAGTAATTTTAAATTTTTATGTTTTATTTAATTTAATTGTATGTCCTAATAAATAAAATTGTAACTAAGAATAGAAATAGGAAACGCATTTTATGCGTGAACTGTGGAGTCAAATCAAATCCTTTTTTATTTATAATATATTAAAGAACATTCAATCTGATTTTACTCAATTAACTCTAAAATTAACGATAATTAAAATAATGACGTCATGTGCTTGTNCGCCGAGCGCGTAGAATTTCGTCCAATGACCCCAAGCTACCCATCCTTATCGCTCGCGCTATTATATTTCTGTCGCGACTGTGCGACGGGTGGCCGCAGTGAGTGTGCTCGGCGACCGTCCTTTAGTTGACATTTGAGTTATTTACAACCCGGTGAAGTTAACTGCGCATCTGGCTGCCGTGACGTCACATCGACACTGGTACGGTAGGGGCGAATGCGTGGTGTGCGGGAGTCGCATTCTCGCGAGTTGCGCAGTTGGCTCGTTCGGGTTTTAGATTGAGCAATAATTTTATGGCACATTTTAGTAAGAGAAAATTTATTTTTTGTCCTACCCCCTAAAAAGCACCTACTTAGCATTGTGCCAGATTCAATTCTGCAATTCCTTAGATCAAAACAGCTACATCGACGCGCGATTAGTCGTCGTTTTAAAAATAAGTAAACAGCTTGGGGGAAGTAAAAGTGATGCACGTACCTTTAACTCCTCGAGACTGCAGATGGAGATGTAGACGCATACGTAGCACACATTTCTCACAGTACACTATACAAAGCACACAAGTCAATTTAAACCATCAATACTACAAAATATCACGTGAATTTAATAATTTTGCGGAGCGATCACCACCATCACCCCCGCCGGTGGTCGTTCGAAAACTGACAACTGACGAATAGCGACATCTAGCAAGTCACTGCGGAAACTAGTGGCGCCGCCATATATCCGTCCCCTTCTTTTAGTCATCCTTATTAAGGTTAGTTATTTTTAAAGTTTAGTTAAACTAAGTAATTTTAAGTTTTTATGTTTTTTTTTTATTTAATTGTATGTCCTAATAAATAAAATTGTAACTAAGAATAGAAATAGGAAACGCATTTCATGCGTGAACTGTGGAGTCAAATCAAATCCTTTTTTATTTATAACTANGTGCTTGTATTTTCATACAAACTGATTTTGACAGTTTCAAAAGTAAGTCAATTGATTGATGATGTCACAATACCTCAATTTATTTTATTTCATTTCTCAATTTGTTTTCCAATAATAAATGGAGATTTAAATTTTTTGTTTTTGGTTGGTTTGCTTTATAATCAATTAATATATCAAATAGTTTTCGTAAAAAAGAATATAGGTAAAATACTAGGATTTTAAAGAAAAGTCAACAATTAAAACTAATAATTTTTATTCAATTACAAATACATATATAGCAAAAATGCCGGTGTCATAATTTTAAAGATTACAAATAGGATCTTAAAAATAAATTCTCGAAATACGGGGCGCTTAAATCATTTACTATATAATAAAACATTCTGTTACAAAAACTTAACTACGTACGGACGTACGTATAATATACAACGCATGCATATTTTAATAAATAATAACATTATATATTTATTTTATTTAATCTATGCATGCTTTTAAAACAATCGATTGTAGAATAAAGTTACCAGTACTAAAGAAAACTTTAAAATTAATATTTTTGCGAAAAATTTAAACTTACGTTTATAAAAAAATTATACACGATAAAAATCTTATCCTCAATTTACGAGCACAGCAGCAAATCAAACTATGCACTGTAGCATCTTAATTAGTTGTAATTTTTGAACAAAAATGTGTAGCGTTATTTGCTGCTGTATTTATTACCTAAAGATCATAAGAATCTTGGAATACAGTATAGAATTCATGACAAAAACAGTTTTTTTTAAGCTACACCCCGTACTAACACATTAATAAAAATCAACTTGTCATTTTAACAACTCTAGACTATTTCTAGGTAATGTCAAATTGATTGTAGGGCCCGGAGCTAAAAAAATAAAAGAAAATATACGTTTAAATTACAAATAAAAATGGACCCTACACAACAACCTCTGATTAAGCTGGGCGTCATGTCTCTGATCATTTTTTCTTCATTTGATTTACATTTTTTTTACATTTCGCCCATAAAAATCAATTTAGTTGCCGAATAAAAACCAAAAAATGAAATAAGTTAAAAAATCTACAAACGTAGGCTAGCCGAATGAATCTTAACCTTACATAGAGTGCTAACATATATTATATTTTGTTTATCATTTAATAATTATATGTATACAGTCGGTCACACGATATTACATCGGGTAAGAAATAAAAATATATGTAAAAATCATAAGTTTTCGTGTAATACTGAAAACGTTAATATCATTAAGTGTTTTTCGATTTTTTTACGCTAAAAAAATGGAAAAAATGAAAAAAATACCGACGAAATCGTGTGATCGACCTTTCTTAATATTTTTAAAAGCACAAATGGCGATAGGGCCTTGTAAAATGGTCTCGGCCCGTAGAAGAAGCATTTCATGCCAGTAACACTAAAGAATGCACCAAAAGGCCATACTTAGGGATTCTGATGAGAAATTTTCATTGTACTTCCAAAGGCGAGGTGAAAATAACCTTCTTATGTTAGTAAATTGCTTAAGACTTATTTTGTGACATTAAAAAAATGAGAAAAAAAGAAATGAAGATTTTTTGGATTAATTCGAAGCTGAAATTTAGTTTTATGGAACGACACAGTGTAAAATTATTGTCAAGTCATTTTAATGCTAATTTATTAAAAAAATGTACTGTCCCAACATTTCTCATCAAAACCCCACTTAACAGCATGTGAACTAAAATTAAAAATTAGTAGGTATTTGTGTAAAAAAATACAATTCCACATAAGACAGACCATGGCAAGTCGCGTGTTTAAAAAAATCGCCTTTTCCACTCATTTCAACGAAATAAATTAATTTCTGCAAATCTTAACTATTTTCATAGCACTAACACCTACGCTGTGGCGATTCAAGCGCCATCTATGAAACCGTAGCTACCCATTTACCGAAATAGGTGGGTAATTTTTGTATTACATTATTATATTTGTACGATTATCAATATTGATGTTCACCACAACTAAAAAAGTATATTTCTTTCTCTCTTAGAATAATAAAAAGACAGATGTACAGTCGCGGAATGAAAAGGTTCGTCACCTTAGTGTCGGTTTTCGCTTGCACTAGGTACTGTAAGAATCAAACCTGCCAACATAACAGTGCAAGAAACAGTGCTGCTAACATTAAAATAAATGTGACGTTTGCTAACGAATAAGGTTTTGCTTGTTTATTTTTCTATCCCATCAGTGCAATGCAATGATGACATTGACCAATTTTATTGACAATAGTTTTTTTTTTTATTTAATAGAAACAATAATGGCAGGTTGAACCAACAAGAAGGTTTTAGTTTACAATCTAATCGTCTTGACAAGATAAATCGTCACACAACTTTGATCTGAATAATTTTGAACTTTACTGACGAACAGTTAAAGATTATTTTCTCTAACTCGAGATTATTCTATAACATAGTTTCAAAAGGTAATATGTGCTCGCGATTCGTTGAAGGAATCAATTTGAAAACTGACGAACCTTTTCATTCCGTGACTGTACATATTCTGTACCAAAAATAAAATAATATTGCAGTAATATTTATTTTAATTACGGTATTACAGTTAACATTTAGTGAACACTAAAATAAATTTAGTGGATCACCACTAAACTAAATCTAGTGGACACTAAACTAATTTTAGTTTCATTAACTTGATATAAGATTTAGTTTTCTCCAAAACTAAAACTTGAACTGATTTTTCATTTTTAGTTTTTCCTTTTTCGTCTTTTTAGTCTCTAAGCAGAAAATAACTAATTTAGTTTTAGGCTTAGTGAACAATCAAGCAATAGAATTCATTTCACACCAAAAACCATACGAAAAGACATTTCAATACAAAGACTTTTAATAAAATTAAAGTAGGTAAATAATAAGTAGTGCAAAATATATGTACGTGTACGCACACACAGCGTTGTAAATACGCTCTCAACCAAATGTATTGGCTAATATTAAAAGCGAAAAATTAAGAAATGTAAATAAAAATATGTTCACTAGATGTCGCTAGTGGTCTGTTTTAGGTTTTTGCAAAGAACAGGCTAATGCATCTAATATTAAAAATATTTGTCAAATATTTTTTATAATAAATTAGTAGCGGCGCAAAAAATATTCACTGTTTCAAAAATATGTTTTAAATAATATAAACTGTTTTCATATTTTAAATGCAAATGTTCATCATATAAATATAATATTGTAATATCATACACACAGCTAAGAGACAGTTTTTGCGAATACAAGACACTACGGGGTCGATTTTACATTTGTTTTTGATATCGATCCAACATATTTTTTCATTTTTTTACATTTGAAATTGCATATTTTGCTATTTATTGCACACTTAAAAAGTAATTTAAAAAATGTAAATCGGGTGTTTTAATTAAAAATACATTGAATTGATTTCAAAATACAAATTAGATTTCTGCGCTTCACAACTCAATCACATGATATCTCTAAGAACCACAGCTAAAATATATTTTAAAATACATAATTGGGTAAAAATTACTAAAAAAAAATTACCTTTTGGACAGTAATAAAGGAAGCTCAAAATAAGTCTTGCTGGTCGGCTGTACCGATTTTGATAAGACTTTTAAGTGGTGTGAAAGAGATAGCATGCGATTGCCTATTAGCTCACTCTAAGCTTAGTACATCGAGGCGAACCAGAACCTTATTTATAAAATACAAGTAAAACTTGAAAGCGAGATGGCAGTGTGTGTTTGTAGTTATATCTGAAAAAAAAAAAGAACAAAAATTATCAACAAGAATTTTCGATAAATTGACCAAAAAAATAATGATCAAAAATAGGGACTTGGACGTCACTAGTCACTACGTTGCAAAAAGTGTAGCACGGTGTGACGTCACGCACGTGGAATAATTTAGTAAATTATTGACTTGATAGACAAAAAAAAATCTCCAATATCTACACGCGCGAGCTAAAGTATGGAATCAGTCTATTCGTTTTGAGTGATCTTTAGAACTAAATGACTATGAAGGTTAAATAAATAAAAATGGTACCAGTTTAAAAACTTTTACTTGATACCATAGATATAGTTATTAAATTTTTAGCGTTTGGAGTCGCATCTCAAACTAATTTGAAAATTATAAATAACTTGAAAAAATCGAACTGCCTAAGGCGGGAATTGAACCCACGAATTGAGGGAATTTAATCGCCCGGCAAGCGGAAGGTCGTGGGTTCAATTCCCGCCTTAGGCAGTTCGATTTTTTCAAGTTATTTATAATTTTCAAACCATAGATATACTTGAATTCTTCAGATAATAACAAACTCGGAATTCGGAACAAAATACAAAAGGGTGATTTAATACTTTTGCTCGTACGTATGTAAGTTTTTTATGTTTGTTTATTGACAAAATTTTTATTCATAAATTTATTTATTTATTCGTAAAACAATACACTAGCTATTATTTTATGAATAAACTAGCTTTCCGCCCGCGGCTTCGCACGCGTGAAATTTCGTTTGTCACAGATCGTCATAAATTATAGCCTATATGTTATTCTGGATTATGAACAATAATACTGTAAAGTTTCATCAAAATCCGTTCAGTGGTTTTTGAGCCTATTCATTACAAACATACAAAAATAGGTACAAATCTTTCCTCTTTATAATATTAGTATAGACTAGCGGCCGCCCGCGACTTCGTACGCGTGGATCCCGTTTTACCCCCTTCATCTATCTTACGCGGTTTAGATTTTTTCATACAAATGTTTTTTCCCGCGAACTCCCGTTCCCGTGGGAATTTTGCAATATCCTGTTGTAACTAAGCTTTAAGTTTACTAAGATACCTGCATGCCAAATTTCAAGCGTCTAACTTAAGCGGTTTAGATTTTTTCATACAAATGTTTTTTCCCGCTTACTCCCGTTCCCGTGGAAATTTTGCAATATCCTGTTATAACTAAGCTTTAAATTTACTAAGATACCTGCATGCCAAATTTCAAGCGTCTAACTTAAGCGGTTTAGATTTTTCATACAAAAGGATTTTCCCGCTAATTCCCGTTCCTTTGGGAATTTTGCAATATCCTGTTGTAACTAAGCTTTAGGTTTATTAAGGTACCTGTATGCCAAATTTAAAGCGTCTAACTTAAGCGGTTCAGATTTTTCATACAAAAGGATTTTCCCGCTAATTCCCGCTCCCGTGGAAATTGGGGGGGGGGGGGGGGCAGTAGCGCTTGCGAAAGGCGATACGGTGTTGGTCCCTTACAGAGTTGATAAATGATAACACTCTTATTCACAAACTATGCTTGCTTAAGTGAAGCAGAAATGCTATGCGAAGTCGAACGCACAGCGTTGGATAGAACTGCGATTGGTTCGTGTGTGTCACTCCGCTACTCAAGTATCGTCTATGAATAGGTGTGAGACTCGCACTGTGAGACCTCATAGTGTTTGTGAATACGGGTGTAAGTCTGCTATGAGCTCCCATCGACGTCCTGATCGAGGAGGTCAAAGTGGACCCTCCAGACGTCGACATCGACGTCGACATCAAGCGCGAGTGTGACGACGACGCGCCGGCGGACGATGACAGCGTCAAGGACGAGAGGTGGGTAGTTAAAGAAACGTAGCACCATGGGCGTACCCAGGAAGACTCCAGAACAATCCCGCTTCCCTCCCACAGCTTGTCAAGCTGCTTGCGCTGGCAAGCTCACCCACCTCACATCCTTGACTGTTGGAGGGACCAACAGTCAAGGATGAGAGGTGAGTGGTCAGTTGAGGCTTATTATTACTAAAGGACGAAGCACCATGGGCATACCCAGGAGGGGAGAAGAGGGCCAGAGTTGTCCCTCTTCAAGTCGCATTGTACCCAGGGGGGCAGGGAGAGGGCAACTAGCCCACCCTCGTATTCGCTTGAGACCCAGGAAGGACAGGGGAGGGACATTTGCCCCCCTGGAAATCACTTAATACCCAGGGGGGCAGGGTAGGGACATTTGCCCCTCCACAAGTCCCTGTACCCAGGGGCTCTTGCCCCTCTCTTGCTTGAGAGGTGGGTAGTTAAAAAATATTATAGGCTTATTACTAAAGGGCGTAGCACCATGGGCGTCCAGAAAGAGTCCAGAACAACCCCCCCTTTCCCTCCTACAGCTCGCCAAAAGCGATGACAGCTCGCAAAACACGATGACAGCTCGCGAAAGGCGATGACAGCTCGCCACAGGCAATGACAGCTCGCGAAAGGCGATGACAGCTCGCCACAGGCAATGACAGCTCGCGAAAGGCGATAACAGCTCGCCAAAGGCCATGACAGCTCGCCACAGGCAATGACAGCTCGCGAAAGGCGATGACAGCTCGCGAAAGGCAATGACAGCTCGCCAAAGGCGATACGGTGTTGATCCCTTTCCGATTTCGATTTAATAAGTCTGCTATGAGCTCCGTGAAGCAGCAACTCTATGCGAAGTCGAACGCACAGCGTTGAATAGAGCTCTGCGATTGGTTCGTGTGTCAACCTGTGCGTGCACACGCACTGTGAGGCCTCATAGTAATGTTTGTGAATACGGGTGTAAGTCTGCTATGATCTCCCATCGACGTCCTGATCGAAGAAGTCAAAGTGGACCCTCCAGACGTCGACATCGACGTCGACATCAAGCGCGAGTGTGACGACGACGCGCCGGCCGACGACGACAGCGTCAAGGACGAGAGGTGGGTAGTTAAACAATTATAATATAACCCAGGAAGAGTCCAGAACAATCCCCCTTCCCTTCCACAGCTCGCCAAAAGCGATGACAGCTCGCAGAAGGCGATGACAGCTCGCCAAAGTCAATGTCAGCTCGCGAATGGCGATGACAGGTCGTGGAAGACGGTGACAGCTCGCGAAAGGCAATGACAGCGCGCGAAAGGCATGACAGCTCGCAAAAGGTGGTGACAGCTCGCGAAAGTTGATGACAGCTCGCGAAACAGCTCACGAAAGGCGGTGACAGGTTGCGGAAGGCGATGACAGCGCGCGAAAGACGATGACAGCTCGCGAAAGGCGATGACAGCTCGCTAAAGGCATGACAGCTTGATGACAGCTCGCTACAGGCAATGACAGCTCGCCAAAGGCGATACGGTGTTGTTCACTTTCCGATTTCGAGTTAATAAGTCTGCTATGAGCTCCGTGAAGCAGCAACGCTATGCGAAGTCGAACGCACAGCGTTGAGTAGAGCTCTGCGATTGGTTCGTGTGTCACCCTGTGCGTCCACGCGCACTGTGAGACCTCATAGTAATGTTTGTGTAAGTCTGCTATGAGCTCCCATCGACGTCCTGATCGAAGAAGTCAAAGTGGACCCTCCAGACGTCGACATCGACGTCGACATCAAGCGCGAGTGTGACGACGACGCGCCGGCCGACGATGACAGCGTCAAGGACGAGAGGTGGGTGGTTAATTTAGTATGACCTCGCGGTTGACAGCGCGCGAAAGGCGTTGACAGCACGCGTGAGGCGATGACAGCTTGCAAAAATTGGTGACAGCTCGCGAATGGCGAAAACAGCTCGCGAAGGGCATGACAGCTCGATGACAGCTTGCGAAAGGAAATGACAGCTTGCGAAAGGCGATGAGAGCTCGAGAAAGGCGATGACAGCTCGCAAAAAGCGATGACAGGTCACGGAAGGCGGTGACAGCTCGCGAAAGGCGATGACGGCTCGCCAAATGCGATGACAGCTCGCCAAAGGCGATGACAGGTCGCAAAAGGCGATGACAGGTCGCGGAAGGCGGTGACAGCTCGCGAAAGGCAACGACAACTCGCAAAAGACAATGACAGCTCGCGAAATGCGATGACAGCTCGCGAAAGGCGATGATAGCTCGCCCAAGGAGATGACAGCTCGCGAAATGCGATGACAGCTTGAGAAAGGCGATAACAGCGACATAATATGACTTGTGGCGACATCTATCTACGCGCCACTACAGTCGTCACCCAACAGATGGCGCTGGCGTACCTTTCTATGGCACGCGCCACCGTGCCAGGCCTGGCTCACTCCGCGCGGTACATCCGATAATTACCTACAGCGAAGCGCCCCGCCGGCGGGTATTATATCAGTCGAGTGTCACGCGCGCGCCCGTCAGGACGCTGGCGTGCGTTGTAGTATGATTATAATTCTATGATCGAAGTATTATTTAAAAATGGACATAAAGAGAAAGAAATATTGTGCGGTGTTCGGGTGTTTAAATTCGAAAAGAAATCTACCGGATTTATCTNAACACGGTGTATATTGTCCCGGCCGGGAATCGAACCCGGGACCTCAGGATTGGCCCGGCACACCTTGAAAACCGGTGTGTGAGCCTCTCCGCCACGGAGGTCGTCAAAAATGTTACCTAAATCCCAACTAATATTATAAATGCGAAAGTAACTCTGTCTGTCTGTCTGTCTGTTACGCTTTCCCGCTTAAACCTCGCAACCGATTTTGATGAAATTTGGCATAGAGATAGTTTGAGTCCCGGGAAAGAACATAGGATAGTTTTTATCCCGGTTTTTGAAACAGGGACGCGCGCGGATAGTTTTTCTGTGACAGACAAAATTCCACGCGGGCGAAGCCGCGGGCGGAAAGCTAGTGTAAAATAAAATAAAATATTAAAACTTCATTTTCTCAATATTCCCATATAAGAGAGAAAAAAAAATGCACGGAAATTCATTGGATATTAGTATGTATCATCTGTGATAGGTTTCGTTTGTGTCCGCTACTTTTCGAAAAGTGGGGCAAAAAGTTCCCAATGTCATTTCGTTAAAATCCATCGAGTAGTTTTTGTTTCTATAAGGAACATACAGACGGACAGACAGACAGACAAAAAGTTTACTGATTGCAATTTTGGCATCAGTATCGATCACTAATCACCCCCTGATAGTTATTTTGAAAATATATTTCATGTACAGAATTGACCTCTCTACAGATCTATATCTATTATATAAAAGAAAGTCGTGTTAGTTACTCCACTTATAACTCAAGAACGGCTGAACTGATTTAGCTGAAAATTGTCAGGGAGGTAGTTTAGAGCCAGTAGTGGAGGAGAAGGACATAGGATACTTTTTATCATCATCAACAGCCCTTTACAGTCCACTACTGGACTATGAGCCTCCTCCACTATGGTGGAGGGTTTTGCCATAATCCCCACGCTTGGCAGGCGGGTTGGAGATCGCAGTTTAAAAGATTGATGTTTGTCAGAGAGCGCTGCTGCCCGTTCTCTGTTTGATGTGTAGTCCCTAAGTCGCCTCTTACGACACCCGCGGGAAGAGTAGGGGTTGCGGGGTTGGTGACAAATGTATTCTACTCTGCCGTCACCACACGGCTTCGAACCTTAAATGAATCCAAAAATCAGTAAACTCACCTCTAGGCGGGCTGTGGCGTGCTGGACTTGTCCTTCTTTTTCTCTTTCTTCTTCTTCAAGAAGGAGGGCGTTCTCAGGCCTTTCTTCTTCTTCTTATCTTTCTTAGGAGAGTCCTCCGTCGACACCTCCTTGGAGGGTGATCCCTGAACCACCAAAAAAACTTATTGAACTACCAATAGGTGAACGGATATTAGGGGCCATCCATAAAGTACGTCACACGAATTTCATGATTTTTTGACCCCCCCTCCGTCCTTGTCACAGGTGGTCACATTTCTGAGACCCCCCCCCCCTCCCTAGTGTGACGTAACATGTTTTGAAATTTCACATCGAAAAATTATTAAATTAACAGCAGTTCCGAAATTAGTTTTATTTCCATTTAAATTAAGTATTTTTTTTTATGAAATCAACATTATATCAAATATTTGAAACAATTGTAATGTGATTTCACGAAACTTAGGACCCCTCCCACCCCTTGTCACACCATGTCACACTTTGTCAACCCCCTCCCTCCCTCTTTACGTGTGACGTACTTTATGGATGACCCCTTATCAATGAGTCCCGGCTTCTACCAAGGAGGAGCAGAGCGGAGCGGAGCGGAGAAGTCTTTTGAATAACCAATCAGATTTCATTGATTCACTTATAACTTTTTATTGTGTTCCAATTTTCTAGCAAAAAAATCGCGTTATTGCGATGTAAAACGGAACAACCCCATCTATTGGTCGTCAGCAGAACTAAACATATTCAAAATTTCAAATTCTGTATGTAGGCCTGTTGAGAAGAAAAACTCTGGAGCCGATTTGGTAAAGTTGTATTTGTACTACACGCAGTAGATGTTGCTTTCACATATTCAATTCTTTCAGGGTTTTAGACCAGGTTTCCATCAAGGCAGAGCAGAGAAGTTTTTTGAATTACCAATCAGATTCCATTGTATGCACATCTCCACTCAACTCCGCTTCGGTCGAAATGGCTCGCGCGGAAAAGAGTGTTTTCTATAGAATTTGACAGCGGCGGCGGAGCTCATAGATATAGATGACCCACGCTGAACTGTCCCACCAAACTCAATGACAGGGGGGCGCTACCATCGTTAAACTATGGTTTCGAACATGGCAAAAATCGGAAACAGAGATCCGGTATTGACGGTGGCGCCCCACTGTCAATGTCATGCATAGGACAGTTCAGTATTTTGGAACTATAGCAATAGACTGACAGCTGACCGCTACGCACAGCTTACATATCTGTTGTCTCGTCTCCTCTCCGCTCCGCTTTAGTGGAAACTAGGCTTTACATCCGCCCTAAACAGCCTACACCACTCCACTACTACAGGAACTACAGTCAAACGCTACCTGTAGGGATAATATAGTTTTTTTATTTAATTTTGACTCACCTCTTTACTGCTATGCGAAAATGTGCTCTGATGCGCATCCGAGTGATCCCCGTTGACAGTGTGCTCGCCTGTGGAAAACCGAGTAAGTCAGAAAAACGAAAAATAGTTTGCGATAATGGTACAACTCAGAAATTTGTAAAAATTGGGATTATCAACTTACAAGATCAATCTATAATTTATAATGTAGTCTTTATTAAAATAAAAGCACTAATTTAATTTAAAAGAATAACACCTAATGGTTGAAATCCAAAAGTGCAAAAAGGTATTTTTCTGTTCTAAAAAAATTACGGGTGTTTACCCGTAATTTTTTTAGAATTTCGTTTGAAATTTCGAATAATTTGTGACAATATTATTTTAATCTACTAAAAAATCTGAATGACTAAAATGTATAAAGAAGTATTAATTCTTCTACTATCTGTAATATTATCTGGCTATTAAAAAAAGTAAAAGTTTCAACTAAAACCATACTCCTTCTAGCGCAGTCGGGTAAAAATAAAGATATTGTGCTATTTATTTCACACTGGTAAGTAAGATTAGTTGTAAAATTAGCCAAAAAAGGGTGAAAAAAAACCAGAAAGTGCTAGAAAACGTGCAAAAAAAAGTGACTTACCCCGAAAAGTAAAGCTCCTCCCCCGGATCCACGTGAAAGCTTCGCATGCAAGCCACAGGCACGGTAGTGCGAGGCCAAGTTACACAAGTGCAAGCATTTATATCATTGATCTACACCAGGGATGTTATGGATATCCGTAACCGTTACCGAAACTTTCGGATATCCGAAATAAAAAAATATCCGTAACCGTAACCAAAACCGGTATAATATTATTCCAATATCCGTAACCGTATCCATAACCGAAACTAAATATCCGTAACATCCCTAAATTTACACCAATTAATTGTAAAAAGTAAGGTACGCAAATTTTGTACAAGACACTGAGTTATAACTTTTATATTGATTAACATTTTCATTATAGTCACCCGATGTTTTTTCCCAAATATAAAAATTTGACACCTCGTGACGTCATTGCACGCGTTAAAACATGTGCTGTAACGCTCAGTTATACAAGTAAAATGCATTTTTTTTTGTTGTTTTTGTTTTCACAGATCAAGCTGTACCATTACTCTAAATTAATTAATTATTAACTGAAATGTATAATATTCTCCATAATATTGAATGATACAAAGTATCTCTGGAACGCTGTGTTTACGAAAGTTTTGAAGGGAAAGGGATCTACTTTATTTTTCTCCGCTCTTGAAATGAAATCATTTGTAGATCAATGATTAAATGTACGATTGCTGTTAGTTATCACAAAAAGCACAAACATAGAACTAAGTTTAAAAACTAAATTTTACTATTAAAAGAAAAAAAGAAAAAAAATTTTGGCAAACCGTTGAAGTGTAAAAATCTTAGTTCTACGTTTTTATTAGATGTTAAAACGTAAAAAATAACACAAAAAATATTAAAAATAGTTTAATACCACAAACATTCTTACAATAAGCACAAACAAAACATATAGCAAGCGTTACATACAAACCGACATTATAATTGAAGTTTTGTGTTAATGAAAGAAGTAAACCCCGTACTATGAAAGACACAATACTTTCAATATACGCAAAGCTTCTTTAATATTATTTTGAGAAATATGTCAATATTTAGACCAACAACAGGTTTGAAAGATATTTAAAGGTATAGGTCCAGCAATTAAATCGGTAAGTGCCTGAGGTATGAGAGCGGCGCGGGAGGGGTGACATTGACATATCGTGACGTGACAAAGTATACAGGGTGGAAACGATAAGTGATCTCACTCGATTATTTCTAAACTACACAAGATATCGTAAAACTGATTACTGATCCTGAAAGTGCTTCACGAGTTCTATCAAACGGTACCGATAATCGGTTACATAATAAACTGGATCTATCCGAAAATTCAATGTTTCTAGCCTCCATACATTTGGTAAAGCCACAAATTATTGAATACTACACAAGATATCGTAAAACTGATTACTGATCCTAAAAGTGCTTCACGAGCTCTATCCAACGGTATCAACAATAGGTTACAGAATAAACTGTGGGCTAATTCAAATGCATTTGTCGAGAGTAGAAATCGTCTGTCAAATAATTTTCTAGTAATCAATTTTGAACTGATTGTCAAGGTAATACAGTTGAAAATTGAATATCAAAGCCAGACTACGCCTAATGTCAGATCAGCCGATGGTAGATGCCAAATTTCCAATATCGCGTACGAAGACGGAGAACTTTGTCAATATAGTGGTACATAAGGGTCATAATTAGTGGATGCCGACGATTTTCGCGCTGTCATCTCAACGACTGCCCACCCTGGATCTATCCAAAAATTCAATGTTTCCATTTTCCATACATTTAGTACTACCACAGTCATAGCACTCATTTCTTGATAATTATTATAGCAAGTAAAGCCTAAAACTAATGTTTTCCATAAATAATTTTAAATAAGAATGCAAATTATGAGTTTATTTTAAGTTTATTATTTAATTTTTTTAAAAATAGACTTTTAATATTGTGTGGTTGGCATACATTTAGTATGGAAGCTGGAAACATTGAATTTTCGGATAGTTCCAGTTTATTCTGTAACCTCTTATTGGTACCATTTGAAAGAGCTCGTGAAGTACTTTCAGAATCAGTAACCAGTTTTTCGATATCTTGTTTAGTTTAGAAATAATCTAGTGAGATCACTTAACGTTTCCACCCTGTATTATTTAGTCACGATAGCTGAACGGTGAAAGGGTCAAACTGGCCGACTCGAGATCCGAGAAACGCGGGTTCGAATCCTACCGCTGCTCGACTATTGTGGTGAGCCCACTCGTAACACAAGCTTATTAAGCTTACTACGAGGGGCTAATGGAACTATTAGTGATTTGGGCAATACAAATTGGTAATAATCTTTAAAAAAAAATGAAGGAAATCTGACGTCTCGCTGACGTTTGACGTAACAAAAACACCCACCCATTCCGCTCCCAACCTCAGGTACTAAGTTAAACATACCAAAATGTCATTTCATAGTACAGGTTTTATAACATGCAAATAAATTATAGAGTGCTAAGAAGAGCATCGTTAGTTGATGAAAAATTAATTACATAGAGTGACAAAAGGACATTTATAAAGCCTGGTCCGTGAGCACGTAGAATTTTGACCAATGACCCCAAGCTACCCATCCTTATCGCTCGCGCGTAATTATATTGCTGTCGCGACTGTGCGACGGGCGCCCGCAGTGAGTGTGCGAGCGCGACAGCAACATAACTACGCGCGAGCGATAAGGATGGGCTCACGGACCAGGCTTTAGCACAATTTACATTGTTAAATTTTAAACACATGATATGAATGAAAAATTAATATTACATTAAGCTTTAAAATATAGCATTTTAGTTGAAGCAATAAGAGCTAAGATCGTTTCATCTACGAAGACGCCCCACCATTCTTCCGCTAATGTTTGAGTGTTATCGGTACACGCTATATCCATGAGTGCACACGCACACTACAGTAATGCCTTACGGATTGCTCGGACCACACTCCCCGCACCCCGCGCGACCGACACCAAACATTGCTGGGGCGCATCCGAGTGGATGAAACGATCTACATTTTGCGACAAAAATATATAGCTGATGTACTGTCACTGTACAGTCTCTGGCAAATAATTCGTGACATCCAAAGTGGCCAAAGAGTTGAATTGAAAACACAACCGTATTCCAATTGTAACAAAGACGTGTTGCGAATTTTTTGGCTACTTTGGGTGTCACGAACTAATTGAAGATGACTGCTATCCTGCTATGTCCAATAGTAATAGCTCACAGAAAAAAATGGAAGAGTTATTCTAAGCATGTACAAAAAAAACAATACAAACACAAATGTAAACGAACCTAACACAAAAACAGACATTCCCTAAAAATAGCTAAAAAATGAGTTGATACACTATTCCACGCATTGAACAGATGTACTTAAAAATGTTTTAATATAGAAATGTTGAACGCCAATTTTTTAATACTAATACTTCCTAAATAAATGAAAACTTAAAAAAACTTACAGTAATATATTGTTTTAAACACCCCATAGAGATATTTTTATTATTTATGCCCATAATGGGCGCAGAAATAGTCTTAAATAACAAATTCAAATACATAGACGCGATGGCTTCGCTATGTCTCTTTTGAACTACAATTTCGCTATGAGAAGCGATCACGCCATCCTAGTGAGTGCAAATACGATAGCACTTATTTCGACGAAATTATGCAATATTGAAATATTTCAATAGCTATTATCTAGTTTTGTAGCCTCCAAATCGCTCGGATCGAAACTCTCTGACATTCTAAACTTCGATATAATTCTATAAAACAACGAATCATCAATCGGGGGCCAACTCGAATACTTCCTCGACCTCTTCAAATCTCTGGAATCGTACAACAATCGCTTCTGATTCGATTCCATCTCGATTTTCGAATCGAAATTCGATTCGCAAGTGTTATAGTCTGTATTGCTAGCGCATGCTGTTGTGAAGCTATCAGTCGTGAACTGGCTATCATTGTATTTTTCTTGCAAGACGCCGGATCTTTTGTACCCTTCAAAATCTTCATCATCGTTTACGCTGACAAAGCTAGCGACTTTATTGTCGTCAAATTGTCTACTGTACCTCTTGACAGGTGTCATTTCTGTCAAACTATTGTCGAAAGACAGCCAGTATTTGATGCCGCCGCTATGTTCGGTCTGGGACATCGAAATTACGGGTGCTTTTTTGACGAATGGAGACCCTAAAATTGTGTCGTCTTTTTCGTATAGTACGCTCAAATCGTCGCCAGCGAAATTTGTGCTATTGTTTCTTATTGGAGATTCAGTGCACGATTCAAATGCTTTGCTTTCTCTGTTAGGAGACGAACATCTACTGTATTGATCTTCAAAAAAAGCTGTGTTCATATCTGACTTAGAATCCATCACAAAAGTTTCGTTTAGGAAATTTTCTGCGTCCGCTATTTGGTTTATTTTTATACGCTGTTCTTCGGTTTCGGTGTCGTTTGTAATATATGGGATTTCGGATTCATCATT